AGCGAGGGGGAGAGGAAAGAGAAAAAGAGGAAAGAAAAAAGATTGAGAAAAGAGAGGAAAGAAAGAGGAAAGAGAAGAGAAAGAGGAAAGAGAAATAAAGGAAAGAGAAAGGAAAGAGAAAGGAAGGAAAGAGGAAAGAGAAGAAAAGAGGAAAGAAAGGAGAAAGAGAGGAAAGAGAAAGTTAGAGGAAAGAGAAAGAAAGAGGAAAGAGAAAGAGAGAGAGGAAAGAGAAAGAGGGGGAGAGGAAAGAGAAAGAGAGAGGGGAGAGGAAAGGGAAAGGAAAGAGAGAGAGAGAGAAAGAGGAAAGAGAGGGAGAGGAAAGAGGCATAAAATAATTCATTTGCATTTAATTGTAATGGTTCAAAGAATGTTCGGAAAAATGTTCGGCCCTCCATCACGTTCACTTCATCCAATCTGGCCCTCTTTGAAAAAAGTTTGGACACCCCTGGTTTAGAGTTTTAAGCATTTTAATTTATTCATTGAGGAAGATTTAATTAATTGTATTTGTATTGTCATTACTCTGGCTTTTATTAATTAAAGAAAAAAATGAATCAGAGAAAAAGAAGAAAAGGAAAGGAAAGGCTAATTGTAGCCCCACATTTCTGGGACACGAGGGGGCTGAGGCTCTTCTGGGCAATGCTGATGCTCTGGAACAGCTTTCTACAGAGGTCTTTGCCTCCTCCCTTCTGGCTTTCAGGAAACTACTAAAAATGGAGTTATTCCAGAGGGCATTCTCTTAATTTAAGCATTACATCACCTTTATGTAATGGTTTTAATAAAAATCTACTATAATTCATTGTGAACTTTCATACATAATCTGTCTTTCTAAGCATCAGTTTATAAATAAATAAATCATTGTTATTAAATAAACAGAGAGGAACAACTGAGATAGGAAAATCTGGGTATCTTTCCCAGGTGATGCAAAGAGCAGGAAATTCAAGTCCACTCCAATTTATGTTTTAAATTTGAGAATAACCAAAGATTGAAGTATGGAAGAGGAAGGAGGAAGCCTCTGGCACACTTTTCAGTTTCCCAAAATCACGATTTTGCATTTCAGGAATATTTTATCTGGGCCACCTGGTCAAATGACACAGCAAGAATAATGTTTATGCACTACACCTTTTCTTGAATATGCCATGAAAGCAATCTCATAATTCGACTATTAGAATGCTACAGTGGAATATTTTTTTTTTTATTAATTTATTTCTATCCCGCCTTTATTATTTTTACAAATAGCTCAAGGCGGTGAACGTGGCCAATGCACCTTCCTCCTCTTATTTTTCCCCACAATAACAACTCTGAGAGATGGATTGAGCTGAGAGAGACTGACCCAAGAAAGTCTCCTGCTTTCTAGTCTGGTGCCTTAATCACTAGACCAGGGGTAGGCAACCTTGGCTCTTTTATGACTCGTGGACTTCAATTCCCAGAATTCCTGAGCCAGCCATGCTGGCTCAGGAATTCTGGGAGTTGAAGTCCACGAGTCATAAAAGAGCCAAGGTTGCCTACCCCTGCACTAGACCAAACTGGCTCTGATATTGATTTGGTTAGCTATTTCTTGTTAAAAATGTTGATGGAGAGAACTAGCTAGTTTTATATTCACCTTTCACTTTATAGATTACATCTCTCAAAAAAGAAATAGGAGAGCAGGAATCCAAAATCTCTGGGTATAAGGATGATTTGAGTAAAGCCCAAGAAGAGCTCGGCAGGCTACAGAAAGAAGCTTCAGAGTTAGAGAAAAATGTGGAGGAAGGAAAATTGCAATTAGAACCTATTCAGCAGGATCTTCAAGACTCCCAACAAGAAATTACTTCAGTAAGTAACCTCTGAGATTGTTCTTTTACATCATGCGTCCATTGTTGGATTTCCTCAGTTACAAATGTTATCATATCATTCTACATTTAACTAAGAAATAAACCTGAACTCGGATTTTAAAGCTGAATTCCTCCTGTTCTGGCTTTCTGTGTCATTCATAATAGCATATTTTTAATAGTGTAAATACTCAGTTTCACGAAATATAATTCAGATGAGTGAGAGGTATTACCATGAGATAGGGAAATATATGTGTATTTATGTTGCTTTTATATATTTAATGATTTATATGCCACTCATCACTATTTTAGAGCTCTGTGTTTTACAGTATAATTGTTTTTTATTGATAGCAATATTGAGCAATTGCTTTTTGCAATTCTCCAAAGCCATTTTATCAATCAGAAGTTGATGTTTTTACACCTCTGCTTTTCCTTTTATTTCCTTTCTGTTCTATTGGAAGGATAATTAATCTTGGATGTGAGTAATTTAAACATTGTAGGCAAGTATGTTAATGGCCTATAGGTTCATAGTGTTGTTCTTTTTGCTGGATTTTTTTTTTGAATCAGATAAATGTTGCCAGTTATTAACCAGTCAAAGCTGTTGTCTTCTTTATGCAATATTTCATTAACCTATTTAGCTGTAATTGGATGTAAACTAGTCAGATATGTGAGCCAATTTAGCTGTAATTGGATGTAAACTAGTCAGATACGTGAGCCAAAAGTCACACAATTGATCATTTCCAGGTCTAGTATTTAATCCTTTTTATTCGATTTTTTAACTATTTCTGCTTTTATTGTCAGTTCTTCCATTTGATGTTTAGTAAATTCATCTTCAGATATTTTTATCCATCTAGCATTTTTATTACAGTCTTTTTGACTTTCCCCTAATCTTTTCTAAACTGGATTGTTTCCTTTTTGCTTGGTGTTGCATTTTCAGAATTTCTATTGCCATTTATTCTTTGCTAGAATTATTTATTTTATTTGCTTGTTGTTTATTATTAGGTGCAAGAAAAATTGCTGGAGCTCAAAGATTTGGAAAACAGCCAGTTTAACTGGGAAGTTCAGCCACATGGCATATTAATTAATGGGAATGCTGATCACTCTAGCCTCAGCAACAGCAGCAGTGAAACTGTTAACCTAAATGAGAATGCAGAAAGAGAAAATTCAGCAGATTCTGAACAAGTAAATTATGTGAGTGGTGCTTGGATTATTAAAAGAAAAATCTGATCAAACTCAAGTGAAGCTTGAGTTTCAGTGTGATAAATAAAATATACCAAGTTTTGTTCTTGAACAAGTCCAAAGTATATAAGTAAATTGATGAACTAATCAAAGTATTTTTGAATAACTTATTATTACCTAATTAGATTTCAGAAAAGGTTGAATGTATTGTTATACACTTTGGGGGGGGGTGTTGCCCAAACATAGTATAATGCTAGACTAGAGAAACAGTGTAAAGGCCATGGATTTTCTTCTTCCAAAAGAAAAATGTGAATGATCTTAATTATTTCCAAGGTTCACATAGTTCTTTTTAGCTTATAGATTTTATTGAACAGATAACAAGAGATTTATATTGCCCTTTTAGATGTAACTCGGTATTTGTACCCTTTTATACAGTGTAGCCACATTTAATTATATAAAAGTTATATAATATAAAAGTCTTCTTTATAAGGCTTGCTTCTTAACATGATTAAAAGAGTTTGTATGAACATTATTAATATAAAAAAGTACATGTCAGAGTTGTATCCATTGTGAAGAATGTCATCAGGGAATGACATCATATAGATTTGTCAAGTCAATTTTTCTTAAATAAAAGTCACCAGAAAAAAAATTATACCCAATCTGTAGATTGTTGTTGGGAGAACTTCTATGTCTGATTCTTTTTTTTTTTTTTTTTTTTGCTCTGAAAGGCTAGAAAAAGTCCTGAAGCGACACATGAAGATACAGAAGAGGAAAAAGAGGAACTGCCATCGGATGTTACCAAAAAAGTGAGTTTAAACAGCATTTTAATATACAACTTCTAGGAAGCATGTACATTTTGTAGGTTGGTGTGAGAACCTATACGGGTAATCCTCAACTTATGACCACAGGTGAGCCCAAAATTTTTCTTGCTAAGTGAGTCAGTTGTTAATGCATGCACTCACATGAATACCCATTGCTTGAGCAAGTGGGGCCATGAGTGTGTGCGACGCTCACGCGAGTGGGGCCACAAACACCCACAACGCACATGCGAGTGGGATTGTGCACACACGCGCTCACTGGCCAGCCACTCACACAGCCCAGTGGCCAATAGTTGTAGTGGGCCGTGGCCCACAGTTGGGGATCCCTGACTTATATAATAGTGTTGTGATTCCTTGCCAGCCAATGGATCCGGCAGCTGAGTCTGAGGAATCAGATGAGGAGGAGGGGCCTGGAGTGACATTAGAATCAGAAGAAGGCTCTGAGGAGCTCCAAGACTTACAGTCGGACGAGGAGCCTGGCCCCACTACTCGCACTCAGGCTGAGACACAGCTGTGCTGGGAGCCTGAGTTGGACAGTGATGAAGAACAGTTGGGACAAATCCAAGATGCACGAAAGTGTAGGCAAGAGAAGCGAGTAGGACAGAGGAATGCAATGGGGCAGCTCCAAAGGCAAAGGAGAAGGCACTGGAAGCCACGCCTTAATTGGAAATTCAGTAAAAAGTTATTTTTTAAAAAAGGAAGCCACGCCTTGGCTGAATTATAAAAGGGAAGGTGTGGGAGGTGCTGGTTGCCGAAGGCAAATGTTCGTGTTGAGGATCGAGTTTCTGTGAACTGTGTTTGTTTGCCTTGGACATTGACTCAGGTCTGTGAATAATAAAAGGGGTTGGTTTTTTCTTGCGGTTCCTGCCTGTTTCTTGGAAGACGTGGTTTCCCCTTGTGAGCATAACAAGGACTCACGTAGGCTGGGACAGAACAAATAGGATGAATACCAATATGTTCTTTTAAACAATAGAACCTTTTTTTCTTCTAGGAAGATCTAGTAAATGAAGATTCTCATCAACTCCCTGATCAGACAACAGAAGCCAACTTGGACTTTTTTGAGTCTGATCCCTTCGTTGGTAGTAAGTATGTTCAGTTTTCTTTCCCTAACAATTTACTAAGGAGTCATAATGATACTTCAATTGACCTTTGAACCAATTATCCAGTGAGTCAGTTTTATTTCATTGGACAACCTTTTGATGAGAGTGGATTTCTACATTTATCAAGGCGATTGAACTAAATGAATTATATCAATTTATACAATTTTTTTGTTACGGTAGATATTAAGTATATTACTGTCCCCAGTTAAATTTTCCTTGTTTGAAAGCTTTGCCTTTAAAAAAAAAACAGTACTAAATAAAGGCTAAATAACTGAAGATCTATCTATTGCTGCTCAATTGATGTCGGCTCCACTAAACTAGATAACCTAGACCAGGGGTGTCAAACTCAATTTCATTGAGGGCCGCATCAGCATTGCAGTTGCCCTTGGGGGGCCAGGTAGGTGTGGCCAGGGTGGGTGCAGCCTACTGGGTGGGCGTGGAGGGAGTGGGTGTGGCCTACTGGGTGGGCATGGCCAGCTCTACATCATTCGTGTCAATGGTGCCTGTGGGGGCCTGGGCAGGAGTGGGACAGACCTGAGGGTCTCTGGCAGAAGGAGGTGGGACCAGGGCAAGTGCCAAGGCATGGTCCACTGGAGGAGCCTCACTGTTCCTCTCAAGCCATGTGGGGGAGGCTGGATGGTGGTGCGGGCTGCCCGCCCTGGGCAGCAGAGGTCAAATGCCCAGCCTGGCCCTCGAGCACCAAGCCCAGCCCCACTTCCCCAAGGGGGTGCCCAGCTGCACTTAACTTCTTCTCAAGGCTGCTGCTGCTGTGCTTGCTCTCCTTAGCCAGGTTGTTCATGATGGGTACCAGGGCAAAGTCAGAGGGAGACTGAATGCGTGTCAGCATAGATGGCCACCACAAAATTGTACATTGGCTCCAGGCCGGTCGGCCTGGGCCAGGGCCAAGGCAATGGGGGACATTCCCTCACTTTCCAGGATGGCTTCACGGGCCACATGAAACCACTTCGCGGGCCGCATCCGGCCCCCGGGCCTTGTGTTTGACATGTCTGACCTAGACCAATAGGTTATTCAGAGTCACTTTGGATAACTCCACAGGAAAGCTAAACCAGATTTTGAGATCAGCTATAATAAGATAACTTGTGTACCTCTTCCTCCTCCTTATAGTTGTGAACCTATCTTTCTGACCCAATTCTGAATGTTATCTGGCTGTTTTGGATTTAAAATACATTTTATTCCTTGTTCCATTGGCAAAAGGGTTTCATATCTCTGACAAGGTCACCTTCCTTAGTTGACCTAGTTAAGCTACATTTGTCTCTTTTTTTTGTTTGTGGACACTAAGACTTCCAGTGGAAAAAAGTTCAAATAGTTATCAATGGATATTAGTGAAGAATTAAAAAAAAAAGCTATTGCAGTATATAGGGGAGCCATTTTTGGCTCTTAGGAAAGGTTCTGGCACACAGAATGAGATAAGTATAAACCTTTATCCATATCGTGATAATTCTGAACAAAGCTGAACAGTCCTTTACTCTCTAAATAGATGATCCTTTCAAGGATGATCCATTTGGCAAGATAGGTGAGTATTTATTTTCATTCCTTTTAATCTTTTAAAAGAAAAAAAATTCAAGATGGGAATCCATAATTAAAGTATGTTAAGGACTGCATAATGGGGTGGAATTCTTTATTGTATAAATCCTCCAAATATTTTGGTTTCAGTTAATATATCAGCAAGCTAGAATGATGGGAGTTGTAGATCAAACATTTGTGGGGGGATGGAGGTGACCATTTTGGAAAAGACTCATCTACAGTTAAAAATTGAGTGTGTTGAAGTAGCCTTTATGCTGGGGGATAAAATGCAACATGGAGCATTAATTAATGTTCTAATAGTTTTTGTGATAAATATTTAACAATAGGAAACAACTAAGCACACTTCTAGTAACATTGTCTTCATTTTGCTGTCTTTAAGATCCTTTTGGTAGTGATCCATTTAAAGGTTCAGATCCTTTTGCTGCTGATAACTTTTTTAAGCAGTCATCCTCAGATCCCTTTGGGAATATCGATCCCTTCAGTGCAACCAGCAACAACAATTCCACAGTAAGTCTGAGAAAAGAGATTAGTATTGTGTGTATGGCAGATTTTGGTATGAAATGTCTCCATTAGTTTTCATATAAATAAACTTGCTTGTTCCTTGTCCTCTATGGACAGGTATATTTCACAGACATTAGACATTTGACCTTTTATTTGCACAGCTGCTTCATGAATCTTTGAGATCACCTGGAGGCTTGGCTTAGACAACCTAAGTCTCTTGGTATTTAATGAAATCTAGAATTATTAGATAGTATGAGATTTCACAATGGCTAAATAGAACTGTTGTATCTTAGGAAGTTCTCAAAACAACTCTTCCCCATTTTCCTTTTATTTTAAGTGAATCCACTTGATCCTTTAATTCATGGCCCATATAATTTAATGTGTTACACTTAAATGGTTAAGAGTATTATGGTTAGGAGTATTGGTGTTTATAGACAACCAGATGTAGAGTAACAGTATTCTTTACAGTGCTGGTGTTTTAATAACTTCAGAATGGATACCGGTTGGTTCAGTTTGTAACCATATATGAAAGGTTATTGATGCTTCAAACAGAAAAGAATTTGTTTTAATACTGCAGTTTTGAAAATAACTTTCTGAAAAGCTAAATATTGGAATGACTGGAAGGAATATATTTTAAATGATTAATGTTCATTTAGATTTCTCTCTTAATACTCAGGCAAAAATTAGCATGTTTTTGATTTTAAGAATTTGCAGCAAGCTAGTTAATGGATTTTAAATTTTAGACAGAAACACTGAAACAAAATGATCCTTTTGCTCCTGGTGGAACTGCTGTGACTGCATCAAGTGATCCAGGTAAGAAATTCTAATGACAATCTTAAACTATTTGAGATGTGAGGCATATTTGGATTTTTGAGAGTACATCATAGCTGCTTACCTAAAATGGCTCCCACAGTGGGCATAGATTATCAAGGAGAATTTACAGGAAAGCAGAGTGAAGACAGTTCCTCCTCAACCATTATAATCAGGCCCAACTTACCTTACTTTTTTTTTCTTTCCAAGGTAAGTTTGCTCATTTGCAGAATACTGGATTATGACTACCATTGACTGTTAAGCATGCTACTGAAATTATGCAGTTTAATAATTTTACTTTTAAATTCCTGTTAGATTAAAAGAAAGTAATGTTGTAGGGGAATCTGATAGATACCAAGTAATGTCTCCATAGGAATTGTTGTCCATAAGCTATATCAGGGGTCTCCAAACTTCGGCAACTTTAAGACTTGTGGACTTCAACCCCCAGAATACCTCAGCCAGCCATGGTGATTGAGGAATTCCGTGAGTTGAAGTCTATAAGTTTTAAAGTTGCTATGTTTGGACTATATTTTAGAACCCCCTGGTTATGAACAAGCCAAGTTATATAGACTAAGCTTCATTACTCCCCCAATTTAAGTGTGTTAGATTTACCTGCATCTTTTTAGGTTTCTAAAAGACATCAAGCTCAATCAAATTAACAATTTTAATAGCTTAATTACTTTATTTTTCAATCAAAAATGAACAGTTAATGCATTTTGATGTGTTTCATAAGTTTAAGCATGACTTGACTTTACATCTGCCAGAATACATTTTTGTATTCTCTTAACTTGGATTAACTTCTGTAAACATGCTAAATTTGATTAGTTTGAACCCAAGAAGTATAATTCACTTAAAACCATTAGCATTAAATGTAATTAGCACTATAATCAAATGTGATTATGTAATGGCTTTGAGGTACCAGTTTACAGAAATACTTGATACAATGATGCTTAATTATTATACTTTGAAGGCATCAAATTTGACATAATTGTCACACCCAACAGCAAAGTCAGACAAGGATTTAAACATTTTAAGAGCCGAGGAGTTATTTAACATACCAGAAGTGAAAGCATATTCTGACACTGCTTCCAGCATCTGACTGTTTCACATTTAGAAGCTTTTATAGTCAAAACTTTTTTGAATACTCCCTTTCCTATTTTTCCCAATTAGAGATAACATTTTGGTGTTATCAGAAAATCTGTTTATATATAGCTTTAAGTTGAAAGCTAAACTTCTGACAGCTAAATTTCTACATGCTGGTGTTTTAAGGGTTAAATAGATATTTGGACAAGTCCTAAATTGCTCTTTCAGTTCAGATGCTGCCTGGGCTAAGCTAGTGTTTATTCCTTATCAACTCTTCTCAGATCATAAAGTAATATCACGTGAGCCTCATCATTTTTGAAAAAAATTGACCAAATGATTCATAACATTACATAAGGTTTTACTAATGTAGATCTCATATTTAAACTCAGATCTATGGAAGATTAAATCAAGATGTCCAATATGTTCTGAAGAGAATTTATTCCTGAAGAGTCAGACTAAGTGCAGTACAGAGTTTAGATTTAGTGTTTTTGTTGAAATTTCAACCACAAAAGACAATCTAGAGCAGGGGTCCCCAACCCCCGATCCGTGGACCAGTATCGGGCCACGGCATACCAACAACCGGACCGCACAAACAAGCAAAGCCCCATCCACGGGATGCAGGCAGCACACAAAACCACGCACCCTCCGTTCCCCAGAAAAATCTCTCCATGGAACCGGTCCCTGGTGCCCAAAAGGTTGGGGACCTCTGATCTAGAAAGCTGGCCTTAATAGTACCAATATGTGGATGATGATCTATCTGTAGGAGAAGAATGGCAGAACATGTGGGCAGAGTTAAGGGATCAGTCTAGAATTCCTATGTAGCTACAAACGGACTAGGTCCAATCCCTTGATATCTATGGAGATTCTCAGTCATCTAGGTCATAGTTATCCCAAAGGTGCTTTTTCATATGGGAACTGGACTTTCTAGTTTTTCTTTGAAGACGTTTCACTTCTCATCCAAGTAGCTTCTTCAGCTCTGACTACATGGTGGGGCATAGCACAACATAGGAGAACAAACCCATCAGGACAAGATTCAGTAGTCCATCTGCATTTAAAAGACAAAGGCCATTCTTTCAAAGATAGCAAAGTCCACATTTTGTACAGAGACCACCGCTGGTTTGAAAGACGGGTCAAAGAGGCCATCTATGTCAAAATTGAGTAGCCCTCTCTCAATAGAGGGGGAGGGATCCGACATCATCTATCTCCAGTCTACAACATAGTTTTTTCAGCAGTTCCAAGAAGGCTCCACACCCATTTGCACTACTCAGGTGACCCTGATGACACAGATAAACTTCCAGGTGGCCTCAACAACTCTAAAAGAATGCAAATGATCAGCCGTCTGCAAGGCGTATAAATCCTTCCATTCCCCACTATCCAGTCAGAGCTGAAGAAGCTTCTTGGATGAGAAGCGAAACATTTTCAAACAAAAACAAGAAAGTCCAGTTGCTTTGTAAAAAAAAAGCACCTTTGGTATCCAATCCCTTGAATCCCATGAACCTTTAACTCCAAACAGGTGCTAACCTTAGTTGAGAAGATTCCTGTGCATAGGCTGTTTAGCAATAAATCAGCTTATTTGGACCTTCATGTGTGAACCCAGTCTTTTACGCTATATCTTATTATATAAACATCCAAAGCTGCTTTTTCATGCTACCTGGGGCTTGTATTCAGATGCTACTGCTTTTGTGTCGGAAGCACCGAGGCACTTTTGGCTTGAAAGAATTAGTTGGTGACATCATCATTGCCCAGGAGTCACCTAGTTGGGGGCTCCTTTCATATCTCCATTAATATGCCCAGCAAAGTGGTACCTATTTATCTACTTGTGTTTGCACACTTTCAAACCGCTAGGTGGGCAGGAACTGGAGCGAATGACAGGACCTTATCCCATCACATAGCAGCACTTGGGTCTCAAAGGTGGGCTTGCTGACTGTCAACCCAGCGTTCTGAGCACGTGAGCCATCATGCCCCTTTCCCTGTTCAGATCAATTAGGTTGCAATTTAATGGGTATACCGTGGGAAGCTGGGCTCCATTTGGTTCCTGTGCATTCTGAACTTCTGAATTTAGCATTAGCTATAAAATAGTAATTGTTCATTTGTAATATATTTTAACACATCCTATAGCAACAAGAAGAAACATCAACTGTTCTCAAGTGCTGTTTTTCATAGTGATTGTAGTGCTTCTGTGAGGTTTGCAAGTTCCTGTTGAGATTCTTGCAAAATTGTTTTTTATCTTTTACTTTCCGATGCAATTCTTATTGCTATACAAACACAAGCCTGAGTTTTGTTTAGGCAGTCTTTTATTTTTTTTAAAAAAAAATAATACTATTTGATATATAAATTAATCTTGCAGGTGTATTAAAAACAAATCTATCAGCTATCCTGTCCTTCCTTTATTTAAGATCATTAGAAAATCTATATAGCTCCAGAGAAGCCAACTGATTATAATCAGCAAGAGTGTTGGCTTTGACACTGTATCAACACAATTAGTTCAAAAACCCACCAGTGACAAGTTTGTGCCTGCCAGCTTGTCGTTTTCATGCACTCTTTGCAACTGTAATCCTTCTTAACATACTCATTTGGGTCATTTATCAGACTATGATGGAAGAGTTAATGTTACCATTTGTATGAAAAATGCATTTACCAATGGGTAGTAGTCATGGCAAAACTGTGTCAAAAGAAAATGTAACTTAGCTATCAGTTTCTAGAAATGAGCTGTAGGGTCCTCGGTCCTTTTCGTGTAGTGTGTCTTTCGAACGGCATCAAATATCCTGTATTTCATTGTAACAATATGCATACAAGTGAAACAGAAAACTAAAATGTTTTAAGACTCATCATATCTGACTTTGAGTTTGAATTCCTTTGTACATTTTGAGGGGCACAATAAGCAAAATGATTTCCATCACCTCTTGGAATAACCTCTAAATATTTTGGGGGCAGTCCTGAGACATTTTTTAGTTTAATTCCCTATAGTTAACTGAATGAGAGCTGAGCGGTAGTGAGCTTTACATAAAGCCTTCTTCATATCTGATGAAAATGCAGATAGTTCAATAAATAAAGTAATCTGTTTCCTGTTTTTCATCCTGCATGGTTTTTGGTTTTTGAGTCTCCAAATCAGTGTTGACTCGTGCCTGGACAAGTCCTTACTGCTTTCTTGGCAAAATTTCAGAGTTGGTTTGCCATTGCCTCCTTCCTAGGGCTGAGAGTCCGACCGAAGGCCACCCAACTGGCTTTGTGCCTAAGGCATATCTAGAACTCGTGGTCTCCCAGTTTCTACCCTGATGCCTTTACCACTGCACCAAATTGGCTCTTATTAGATCCTTGCATGTGTAGTACATTGGATTTATCGTCTTTCCTTCGTGTTTTCCTTTGCTTATTACAGCTACAGATCCCTTTGCATCTTTGTTTGGAAACGAATCATTTAGCTGTGACTTTGCTGATTTCAGCACTTTGTCAAAGGTAATTTGAAATAATTAATGCTTGTGGACAAAGCATAAACTTGTTGAGTAACAAAATAAAACTTCCAGCAAACATTATTGTAATTTACGTTAAATGGTAACTTAATTCCCATTTTGAACTATGTCTCATTAACTGTGGGATTATTTGTTTTCTTAATAAAAGCATTGTGGTTAATGGAAATTACACTGTGGGCACTCATACAGTCTTATTCATTAGCTGATATTTTTTTTTCCCCTTCAGTTCTCAGAATATATTCTCTGGAGTGGACTAGTTCAATTTATTTATGAAGTTATAATATTTGGTCATTCATTAAGCCAAGCCAGAATTTGAATTTGTTGCAGCAGAATTCACATTGAAAAAGTGAAACTGAGTGTGCAGTCCCACTCATTCAATTCAGTTTCATCATTCACAGGAAACGAGACAGCAAAAACACAAAATTGAAGGACACACACCAACACACCATCTAGTAACTTTACACACAAATAGTTTTTCCAAAGAAGCCATCAAAATCTATACTCTTCGTTTAAATTAAAAGGACTTTACAGTGCCAAACATCTGTCTATCATTAACATTTAATAAAGTAGTAATAAACAAAGATGAAAGATCTGAGTAGCTATAGAAGAAATTATTACTTCTTGGAGCACCCCAAATCCTTATTAAATAATACACACTTTCCATGTTTAGTGACCACAAACCATTCCTCAAATTGGAAGCAAAATAATTAGGGAAAAAGAGAGATGGTGCGTAGATCACTAGTTGCTGCCATCCTATTTGGATAAAACTCTCTCATGCGGTGTTCTCACTCCAGTGCACATGGCTGTCAGGTGCAGAAATTGGATTGCAAGTGCCTGCATTAGTTGGAAAATGATTTTTTTTAATTATTATATTTAAAATTATTAAATTATTATTATTATTACCATTATACTGTGAATAGTTGCTAAACAAGATAGGGCTCAAGGAGGAGTGGCTGCATAGCCTTTGTTCTGTTTCCTGTAAATATACCATAAAGTTGAAACTTCAAATAGCAACTCTAGGGAAAATATAAAAGCACGCGTATATGATTACGGAGATCATAGGTTACGAAAGATTACGAACGATTAAAGCATGCATATATGATTAGGAAGTCCTTAACTTTACAACCACAGTTGAGCCCAAAATTTATGATGCTAAGTGAGTTTTACCCCATTTTACATTTTTTTTCTTGCCACATTTGTTTAGTGCAGGTGTCTTCAAAACTTGGCCCTTTTATGACTTGTGGACTTCAACTCCCAGAATTCCTCAGCCAGGCATGCGTGCCTGGCTGAGGAATTCTGGGAGTTGAAGTCCACAAGTCATAAAAGGGCCAAGTTTGAAGACCCTGGGTTTAGTGAATCACTGCAGTTGTTAAATTAGTATCAGGGTTGTTAAGTGAATCTGACTTCCCCACTGACTTTGCTTGTCAGAAGGTTACAAAAGGTGCTCGCGTGACCCCAGGACGCTGCAACCGTCATAAATGTGAGTCAGTTGTCAAGCATCCAGATGTAAATCACATGGCCATGGGGATGCCGCAACTGTCATACATGTGAAAAATGGGCATAAGTCACTTTTTTAGTGCTGTTGTAACTTCAAAGGCTCCCAAAGTGACCTGTTGTAAGTCGAGGACTACCTGTACTGTAAAAATGGAAAATTGGATAAAGCATTGCTTTATGGGGAAAAACTGTGGCTGGTGGGAATCAAGTGATGGCATTCATAGGAGCTTTTAATAAGCAGCAGTTGGGAGGCTTATAATGATCAGTAAATAAAAGACCCCAACTTGTGCATAATGGAGTTGTTTCCTTTCTTTTTTTTAAGACGAACAATGAGGATCCTTTTAGTTCATCTGCAACAAGTACCATTAACAATATAATTATAACAAAAAATTTGTTTGAGGAACCTCCAGTCAAAAATGAAGATATTCCTCCTGCTTTGCCTCCTAAAACTGGAACACCTACCAGACCTTGTCCTCCCCCACCTGGTAAGAGGCAGCATTAAGTCTGTAAATGCTAAGGTTTATATGGAGCTTTTTTCAGATGTAATGAAACTGTAAAAGGAGCGTTCTATATTTTTTAACAGAATAACAGAGTTGGAAGGGACCTTGGAGATCTTCTAGGCTAATCCCCTGCTCAGGCAGAAAATCTTACACCATTTCAGACAAATGGTTATCCAATCTCTTCTTAAAAACTTCCAGTGTTGGAGCATTCACAACTTCTTGAGGCAGCTTGTTCTACTGGTTAATTGTTCTAACTGTCAGGAAATTTCTCCTTAGTTCTAGGTTGCTTCCTTGATTGGTTCCATCCATTGCTTCTTGTCCTGCCTTCAGGTGCTTTGGAGAATAGCTTGACTCCCTCTTCTTTGTAGCAACCACTGAGATATTGGAACACTGCTATCATGTCCCTCCTAGTCCTTCTTTTCATTGAATTAGACATACCCAATTCCAGCAACCGTTTTTTATATGTTTTAGCCTCCAGTTCCCTAATCATCTTTGTTGCTCTTCTCTACATTCTTTCTAGAGTCTCAACATCTTTTTTATATTGTGGCGACCAAAACTGGATGCAGTATTCCAAGTTTGGTCTTATCAAGGCAGCATAAAGTGGTATTAACACTTCACATGATCTTGATTCTATCCCTTTGTTAATGCAGCCTAGAACTATGTTAGCTTTTTTGGCAGCTACAGCACCCTGTTGGCTCATATTTAAGTGATTGTCCACTAAGACTCCAAGATCCCTCTCACAGTTACTATTATTGAGCCAGGTACCATCTATACTATACCTGTGCATTTTTTTCTTCGTAAATGTAGTATCTTACTTTTTTCATCATTGAATTTCATTTTGTTAGATAGTGCCCAATGTTCAAGTCTGTCAAGATCCTTCTGTACCTTAAGCCTACCTTCTGGAGTGTTGGCTATTCCTGCCAGCTTGGTGTTGTCTGCAAATTTGATGAGTTCCCCATCTATCCCTTCATCTAAATCATTGATGAAGATGTTGAAGAGCACTGGGCCCAGAACAGAGCCTTGGGGTACCCCACTACACACTCCCATGTAGCTGCAGTTCCATTGAGGACCACATGCTGAGTACAGCAGATCAGCCAATTATGAATCCATCTGGTGGTGATGCTGTCTAACCCACATTTTTCTATCTTATCAAGTAGTAGGTTGTGGTCTACTTTGTCAAATGCCTTACTGAAGTCCAAGTAAATTATATCCACAGCATTCCTCTGGTCCACACATTTTATCACTTTGTCAAAGAATGCAATAAGATTTATCTGGCATGATATGTTTTTTTACAAACCCATGTTGGCTTTTAGTTATGACTTTGTTTTCCTCTAGGTGTTCGCTGATTCGTTGCTTGATTATCTTTTCCAGAATCTTCTCAGGTATTGAGGTCAGGCTGATAGGTCTGTAGCTTCCTGGATCCATTTTTCCCCCTTTTTTTGAATATGGGAACTTCATCAGCTCTTTTCCAGTCCTCTGGTAGTTCCCCAGTGCTCCAGGATCTTTGAAAGATATAGTTCAGTGGTTCTGAGATCACATCTGCCAGTTCCTTCAGAACCTTGGGGTATAATCCATCTAGTCCTGGTGATTTGAACTCATCTAGGGCGGACAGGTGCTCACTTACCATTTTCTTGCCTATTTTAACTTCTGTTTCTAATCTGTTTTTTACGGTACTGTTTTTATAGGTTGGACTGTTTTTTCCCTTTGTGTAAAGATAGATGCAAAAAATTAGTTAAGGGATTCTGCTTTCTCCCTGTTGCTTGTCACCTTGCCATTTTCTCCCATTAATGGACCAATCGTTTTCTTGACTTTTTTTCTTGTTTTTTACATGTTGAAAGAAGCTTTTTTTTTGTTATTTTTGATTTTTATTGCAAGCCTTAGTTCATTTTGAGCCTTAGCTTTCCACACTTCATCTTTCAGGCTCGGGCTATTTGCTGTTATTCTACCTTAGTTATGTGTCCCTCTTTCCACTTTTTATACTTGTCCCTTTTGTCTTTCAATTTATAAAGAGAGTTCTTTATGCAGCCATGCTGGTTTCTTTTGAGAGCTGTTATTTTTCTTCTTCATTGATATTGTGCTAGACTCAGCTTTTTCTCCATGTTCTATTACAAGAATGCCCAATTTAGTTACAAACTAAATTTTTAATTTTTTAAAACTTTGGGTTGCATTTTTTAAAATATCCAAAGCAATAAATTATAAAAGAAGCTGATCTTTTGTATTGCTATATTACTACTATAAAAAACTAAATTCAGTTTGATAAGGATGGCTGATTTGAACCATTTTTAACATAGTCTAATATGAACACCGTGATTTGAATTAGATGACTAGTTCCCATTTTATATGTCTCAAAGCATCCATATAATGAAAATAGAGGTACACATTATCTACCCTGCAAGGTCAAAACCCTCATCCTTTAGAAACTTTAGAATATTTTAGAAAATCACATGAGTTTAGGATGTGTAGCATTACTTATACTACTGTGTACTGAATAAATTATTGTCATGTTCACAATTATGCTAACTGGTTATTTTGGTGTAGGAAAAAGGCCTGTCCACAAATTGGAGTCTTCAGAATCTTTTAAATTGAATGATCCTTTCCATCCTTTCCCAAGTTCCGATGGTTGCAAAGGGCAGGAAGCTGACCCATTTGCTCCTAGTGGAGTGGGCAAAGAGATGGATTCCAGTAATTTTGCTAATTTCAATACTGTAAGTATGGAGATATTCAGTTAAATAATGACTGTTTTGTAAGGACAGTGAACCTTGAGGATGAGAATGAGTTCCTATATATTAGTAATGTCTTGCTTAAAGAATATATCATCATGATCTATTTGGAGACAAATAGCTTGTTATTAGTCTTCCAGTAACGCATTGACCACTGCACAACAATAATATAGTAATTCTGAAAGTTCTCTGATGTTTTAATCTAGCTATAATTGCATACAGTATTATATAATGTCCATATATCAACCTGTAAGAGTACTATATATGCTTCTGTTGCTGTTAGAAAATGAACTATGCAGGATTTAAAAATAGAAATTGATATTGCAACCAGACCATCTTAGCTCTGAACACTTTCCTTAGCAAGCAGTCATTCAGCAAGTTTCTTCTTCCCCACCCAGGCATTTGAATAAGCAGCTGGTTGCAATGTTTGCATGATCCTTAGTTACTGTGTTGCATGACAGTCGTTCGATATATATTTGCTTGAAAAAGGTGGAGAAAAAGTAAATAACGTTCTGAATCTATTGACCACATGATACAGAACTCTCCACAAATTTAGTTTTCTACTTTTTGTGATTAATTATAGTACTAGTATATTGTATGATGTATTTTAAAATAATTCATCTGAATACTTAGCAAATGAAAGCCCCTGGGACTTTTTTGCCTGGGTTGGAAGCTAAGTGGGGTCTGATCTAGTTAATACTATGATGGGAGATTATCAGAAAAGTAAAAAAAAAACATTTTAAGGAGAAGCAATGACGTATTCCTTCCATATTATAGCGTTAATAAATCCTTACTTGCTGTTCCACTAACAAGTCCATGTTTTTTCTGTTTTAGTATCCTACTGAAGAAGATATGATTGAATGGGCAAAAAGAGAAAGTGAGAGAGAGGAGAAAGAGCGACTAGCAAGATTGAAGCAGCAAGAGCAAGAAGATTTAGAACTAGCAATTGCACTCAGTAAATCTGAAATAGCAGAAGCGTGAAGTGTTGCTTCAAATATTTCTCCTTTTCCCTGGATATCTAAGCTATACGTAAAGTAAATCAAGTTACATATGAATGGGAAAGTCAAAAGGCTTTAAATCCTGCAAATGTGATTTTTTTGAGCAACTATCTTATTTGTAACTTTTTCATATCCATTATTTTCATTTGGTAATTGTTTAATATAGCAATTTTCCATTTGTACTTACCTTGGAATTCTTCTGTACTGTACACTATTACACCAAAGTAGCTTATTTTAACATCAAAAAAAGAAAACCCTGACAACTCTACATATTAAAAATTAGAACACCAATGCACAACAATATATTGTGGACGATTTCAAAGGACAAATACGTTTCATGCAAAGTACTTTTTTCTATGTGTAATATATTCTTTGCAGTGTGAAAATCTTTAAAAATGCAGGTGTGAGTAACTGTGTGAAGTGAACACATTTGTCCTTTAAAGATAGCTAGGTCACATATAAGAGATTTATGTGCTAAAATATTCTTAGATGGCATGTTTTATGTCTTTTCAGAAGGGTCCTATTTGCAATTCCTATAATACTGAATTATTTTAGTTCTTCCAGGTGGCCTGCATTTGGCCTGTAAGTAAAACTGGTGATATAGTTAATCAAATTATAGTTATTTAAAAAGAAAAATCTAGCTTGCAAATATTCAGGTAATTAAAAATTCTGATAATCCTGCTTTGTATTGAAATATTCATGTCTGGCAATACAGTATTAAAATTTATATTTTATGTTTTACAGATACAGCATTTCATATTTAATATATGAAATGCTTTATGCTTCTTGTTTTTTTTTTACTGGAAGCTCCAATAGTGGACTGGATATCTAATAGAAAGTATATTTTTCCCCTCCATTAACTGCCTTTTTACCTGTCCATTAAAAATCTAAAAAAACTTAGAAGTTTTCCAGGGAGATCATAAAATTAGACTGGCCAAATTCACTGTCAGGAATTCTGATGCTAATTGAGCCAGCTTCTTTTGTGAAATACACAAAAAAATGGCGATTTGACAGCTGAATATGAAATAAGGTAGGAAGGAGACTGCACAAAAAAACAACTTACAACAGTCAGTTACTGTTGTATATAATTTATTGAATGCCAACTGATGGTTGCACCTTAAATTAAATACCCTTATGTGGTCACCGAGTCAAAATAAGATTGAATGTTAAAGAAAATAAGTTATTTCCTATTCTGTATAATATGTTACATAGTGCAGAGTGTTGAATTCATTCCAGTTATCTTCCTTTTTACTCTGAAATGCTTAGTTAGGCTGCAGGCCTACAAAATAGGTGGTCCTGTGTCATCACCACCCCACCCCAATGCATGATATGGTATTTATGATTGAATTGGATTTTTTTTCTTCTGCTGCAAAGGATTCCATAATTGCCACTGTCAGGATAAGGTATTTCCATTTACCTGTGGATGCTGCTGTCAAGAATCTTTTGAAGAAAGTAGTGTTTCCTCATTTTTTAAATATTAGTTTGGATAAACTTTCTCTTTTGCACTGAGAAATGAGAATTTAAACACCTAATAAACAAAATAAAACCTCTTGCCAAGTATTAATAACCTTAATTTTCTCATGGACTTTCATGGCATTAATCATACAAATTGTGTGGTTAACTGCATTTCTTATTTTTAAATGTTTACTTGGTGGACCAATACATTATCTGTGTCACCCATATTCATATATACATGTACGTGTATATGTACACAAACATTAATTCATTCAGGCATAGGATTAAAAGTTCTGAGTCACCTGATGTGACATTTTATGTTACTGATAGATCACAGAACTTTTACTCAAAGTATCTCAATAAACCACTGCTATGTCAGCTTTGATGGCATTACTACTAAAGTTCTAAAAGGCTTGTAAGAACTTTTTCAGGTGGGGTTAACCTCTATTTATAGACTTTGTTTAAAAATTCTAAATACAGCCTGTAATTATGAATTAAACTGTTTAAGTATATAAGATGAGCCTAGAGGGTTTTTTTAATGTTTTATATAAGGCATAAAGCATCACATCTTTGGATCATTGTTCAAAAATTACTTCGCCTGATACAAGTATATAGGGGGTGGGGGGGAAAGTGGTTCAACTAATACTTCTGAATATCAGAAATATGTTCCAGCCTCCAGATGTAAATTGTCATCCCCCTATTAGCATGACATTAGATTTGCAGACCAACCAATTCCAGTACGGTACATGAGAATACCATCTTGAAAACTCATTCTGAAATAGAAAGTAGGAAAAGGATAAATACAGAGTCTTTTCAATATCTTCAGTACTGTATTACAAAGCATGGAAACTTTATAATTGACCCCCTTTTGAAAAGTCACCTTTTAGATTGTTAACATGATTATTACACAGTTCCAATATGGTCTGCCATAAAACATCTGCATCAGTAATTTAGTGGCTGGACTTATAATTTGCACGAAGTTGAACCCAAGTAAACAAAATTATTGGTTAGCACAAATGTGCTAATCCAGCCACTGAAATCGAATTAATTCTATTGCCGAGTAAGATTTCAACTTTTCAAAATTTCCTTCTTTTAGGATCTAGTTAAGAGCTACCTTTGTCAATATTGGTCTAATTCAAACCTTACCCAACTTGCCATTCTCCAGTTGGGTCAATTCTGCAATTCCCAAATTGTTGCTATGAGTTGCAGTCAACAGATTTGAAAGTATCACTTTGGGAAAAGCAGAGCTTTGCATGTATTTTGATCTGTTTCAAGAGGCCTCATGTCTATATTTGAGGATTTGCACACTCAAGTGGATATGAATGATGGAATACCCTAATTGAGCAGACCAGTATATGAGTGCTGGTTGGTATCTGTTACATTTGTAATAGCTTTAAATGACCCACTTTACTAAGAAAACGTCTTGATCTACAGCTCTTATTTCCACTTACCTCTTTTATACTGTTTCCAGCTTCCAACAGTATGCATAATAAGACTGTCCATGCTGAAAATAATTTAGAAGCATTTCTGATTGTACAAATCTTAATAGAAAAATAATGTCCTTGTGTGGAGTCTGGAGAACATCTACATAACCTTCATAGAATGCACAGTTTTAATACATAATCTATGCAGTTCATTAAGTCAAATGCCCTCAAAACGTATGTATATCATAACAGATCTGAAAGACTTGTGCTACTATAAAAATGACTTATCTACCCATCTGAAACTTTTGTAACTTTGGATGCTTCACATTAGTTATTAATTCTGGTTGGTACCTAGTATTACTATTACATTGGTTAATTTTGCTTTTTTTAAAATTGACCTTAAATATTGAGATATTTGATTCTGTACATAATAGAATGTAGAACGTACACGAGATCGACACACGTAGATTGATTATGTGCCATCAAGTTGATTTGATCTTGTCTGACTTTGGATAGAAACACGGCAGACTAGTATGTCTGTGAAATAGCAGGGATAATGCAGAGGCAAAGATCAACGGTCAGACAATATTTTATTTATTTATTTATTAATCGCATTTATACCCCGCCCTTCTCCTAGTGGACTCAGGGCGGCTTACAGCCAGTTTAAAACAGAATAACAATACAATATACAAATTTAAAATGTGGTTAAAATAAAATATTAATATAGGCCTTTCTTTTATTTTAAAATTATTTAAAAACCAAATATGCCCAAGCTAACAAGCTTTTTCAGACAGAGCAGCCATTGAAGCATCTACATGAGCTCCAAAGATAGGGGTAAGCTCCGCATGAGGAAGCCCTCAGGAAAAAGCACCCATGTATCAGCCTTTCCAAGTAAACCAGACAGGAAATAACTAGATTTAGTTGCAAGTCTTAAAAGTACAAATCTACTGCCATCTCTTTTTACTGACTGATAAGTTAGTGTGTGGATTCTCTCTTTACATTTTTCAACCGTTAAACCCCTGGGAGCTCCTCCCATTCTCTTGTCTATTTCCTAGGCAGTATCTTTTCCCCTCATCCCCCAAGATTATCCATGCCTCCAGATGTAAACTGCCATCTTCTATTAGCATGGCATTAGATCTGCAGACTGACCAATTCAAATTGGTATATCATGCTTGCAGCTTTGTGCAAATTTTGTTTAAAGGATACTGCCTGATCCACTTTTTAAAGCACATTTAAATGGAGCAAATTTGACATGTGTAAAGGCCTTGAGAGCACTTAAAGCCACTTGCATGAGTGTATCTTCGATCCACAAAAGATTAAAGTTGAAAAATGAAAATGCCAGTTACCAAGATTTTAAAAGAATTAAATGCAAAAAGCTTATTGGGAGTTTAGAATAAGAAAGCTAAAAAACAGCCTAAAAGAACAGTTAAATTTGGAATATTGCCTCTTTAAAATACTTTTAATTAAACATGATATACAGTATATCTCTGTGGGAAAGAGAATATATTAAGGAAGCTGATTGACAGACTGTTAGAGAGAGAAATAGAAGAGAAACATGAAGTTCTGAGAACATGTGATTACAGAAGTACAGAGTGCTGAATGGGACCAGTGTTATGAACACAAGGGGGGAAAGTCTCACATTTTACTCCCCTTTTATGGGTTATACATTTGAAATTTATAAAAATGTTTATTACTAAAGGGCGAGAAAGTTATTGTTAGCCTTCATAGACAGACCAGACAGGAAATACAATCAGATGAGCAAATATTATTTTATTGAAAAGATAAAAGGTGAGTCCCTCTGGTCCCTCCGCTAGTCATTGCTGACTCTAGGGGGCGGTGCTCATCTCCATTTCAAGGCCATTGAGCCATCGCTGTCCAAAGGCATATCCACGCTCGTGGCCAGCATGCAGACACAGCGATGTTACCTTCCCACCAAAGTGGTACCTATTTGCTTGTATGCTTTCAAATTGCTAGGTTGGCAGGAGCTGGGGCGAGGACGAGTGCTAACCCTGTCGCGTGGCACTCAGATCTTGAACCTGGCTGCCAGGTTTCCAGCCGACAAGTCCAGCGTCTTAACCACTAAGCCACCAATAGAAAAGATACATTAACAGAGTTTTGAAAGTCTGAAAGTACAATTTTCCCATCCTCATCATTAAAACCTTACAACTTGGTCTCTTCTGAGCCGAGCAGCTACAGGCTATGCTCGCTCTTATCTGACCATTCCTTAGGCAGCATCTCTTCACCCCATCTTCCAAGGTCATTCCCACAGATCATTCCAGTTATAAAAGGGAAGGGAGGATTGTTAGACCACTTCAAAATAATATATCTATGATAGTATCCTCTTGTATGAATTTATCTATTTCATTGGCCAGCAAGATTATTATATGTGTATAGAATGCAGATATATTGAAGTTACCACAATGGAAGATGGAATGACAAGTATTTTATGGAATATTAAACCTGGACTTTTTGCTGAAACTGGAAGAACTAAAATAATTTTAAGACTGGACAATTAAAATAGCTTTGATGGATATGTGTGTGTGTGTGTATTCAAAATTTTGTGGCTGACAAAGAGTTAGTGGGAGACTAGTATTGTCAGCCACAACATTTTTGAATTTACAGTGTTCACAGTATGTGACGTTTGCCTGCAAAACATGCTCCTAGATTGGAGCGAAACGCAGAACAGATTGATTTATATTTGGTAGACTGGGTGCTCCACCCAACAGATAAGTAATATGTAATATGTAATATATACACACACACACACAAACGATTTTTTAAAAAAAACCTATGAGCAGAATAACTATGGTTTAATTCATACATCAGGCATTTGCTATTCACCATATGTTGGGTGTGCATGTTTTGTTTTCCCTGAACCACTTTTCAGTTCTTCCTGTGAATTTAATTTTTAGGCTAGCTGCCCATCCAGCCCTGTTGAAACCTTAATGGATTTATCCATCTTTCCTTTAAAAAAAACAAAAAACAAAACCCTCACGCTTATTTCTTCCTCTTGGCTGGATGGATCCAGTCAGGAACTGTTCAATCTTCCTTCCAGCAAGAAGGAAACATAGAGAAAAGAAAGAAATCTTTAGTCTTGGGCGTTTTAGATACGCAGTAAATTTGATTAAGCCTGGCTTGGATCTTTCCCCGCTTGCGTTTAAGAAGCCTAAAAGCTCCCTCTGGACTGGCGCCACACCCAGATCAGACGCAAAGGAGCTCCTGGCCAAAGTTGGTGGACAGCAGCGCTTTCTTGTAGTCTGGAAGCGGCCCCTTTGAAGAAGCTAGAAGAAGAGGTGGAGCCCAACCGGCTGGAGGGTTGCTCCGAAGGTGCTGGAGCTTCGCTACGTTTCAAGCTGAGGAGAAATACGGTAAGAGGGCCAGCTTCAAGCGCCCCCTGGATTTCAGAGGAGAACCTCTCGTAGCCAGATCTGACTAACGCTTCCCTACCGGGTCCGATGGATGCGCAGCATACGCGGAACAGGAGGGGCGAAGCCAAAGACCCTAGGTAGATACGAAGACGGGGTGCTGGTCCTTTATTTGCGGGGATGGCTGTTTCCCTGATTTTCATGCCTTCTGCTTTCAACAGCACAGGCATGACGGCAGGCAGAAAATCAACCGGTGAAGTTTTGGTTAGCAATGGGTTTATGAATAATCACCAGTCGGACTTTCCGTATTGTTGGTCTTAACTGAGGTTGAAGACAGATACGGTGTTTTGAATTATTGAGCACTCTTCTCCTTCCTTGCCTTCTTTCTGATTACTTGGAATATTTTATGGAAATGTGTTGCAGAAAGCAGACTAGGGCTATGCTCACTTGCTATACTGATACGAAAAAATGAACCATATTTTAATGAGTTTTCTGAACCTCTGTTCTTGTTGCTGAATTTTTGTTGCTGAATTTTTGCAGATAGCAGATAGTCCTTTTTGACCTACTGTATATTTCAAACCCAGACAGAGTGCAGTTAGTTTGTTCAGTGTGTTATTACAAATTGAGAAGGGATTGTTAGTTATTAATTAATTATTAATTGACTAAAGTTTGATCTACTTAATGATTGGCAAATGTACATTGCTTATAAATAAATATGGAGCATATGCACGTAAGGAAGGTGACAACTGTACAAATGAACTGAAATCATGAGCAGATCTAAAGAACTAGCTGATAGAGAATGTAGTGGCCCTGTGGTCCTGAAGCATTTTTCTTAATTACATAGGCTGGGGAGAAAGTAATAGTATGGTTTTCTTGCAGTTAATGACCACTTTTAAGTCCTACTCCATAACTAGAGTTGTGGAAATAAGGATGAAACAAGCTAAGCAAATTGTACAGAATAAAAAGCAAATGTGTTAAAAAATAAACCTAAAATACAGAAATAGTTTCAAAATGTAGCAGCAGACAAAATTACATTTACTATTTGTTAGATAGTAAATAAGTACAGTCCTACATTTTATTATCGTAGCTAAGTAGAGAGATACCTTGATTAAAGATAAGACCAGGGTATCTTGAATTGCCTTCTTGATGAGTCATTTGATTGAAAAAGAGAATCAAAGCTGGGCAAGCAGGACTACTGAAAAAAATAGATTACCTTGAGCTATAAAATTTGGGGAGGGTTCTTTGCAGTCTTGGTTGTTGCGATGTGCCTGGCGTGACAATTATAATGTGGACTATAGTTAATAAACATTGACATAATAAATGTACTAGGCATTAAGGGGTAATTAAATTGGTAATTATTTCTGCTATAACACACCACAACATTTTGGGAATTTTGATCCAAGGAGCACCTAGTTATTGATTCAGATTATGAAAATTAAACTACATAGCCATATCAGTAAATATCAGTATAAAGTCTCTCTGCCAGTCGTGGCCTTTTATAAAATCACCCTCACTGTCCTGGGGAAGGGGCTGAAAGACACATAAAAACTTATACACAGGAGCCTAGCATAATATAATATGTATATCTCTGTGCCCTGAAAGATTAAGGGAAGGCAGGCTGTATATTTTGATAACCTCAGTTTGATGCTAGTCAGAGTCAAGAAGAACAAGAAAAAGCTTGCTGCTTATTTCCTTTATTAGAGCCACCAAATATGACCTGCAAAAATCTGGATAATCACCAGATGGCAGCAAAGTGGGACAGAAAACAGCTATTTGCTGCCATCAGGTGATTATCCAGATTTTTTGCTGCTCAGATCTGAAGCCCAGGGTTTGATGAAACGTGAAGTGAACTACAGGTAGAGGGGCTTTGCTTTTCACTCCTCATGGCAGGTTACTAGGTACAAACAGCTGTAGAAACTTAATTAACTTAATTAACAATGTGAGGTTGAGGCAGGGAAGCTCTACTACTGTAGCCTGCAAGTATTGTAGACAAAGAGGGGTCTAGTTCTCCTCCTGTGCATGTTGAGGAGGGAAGGAATGATTCAAGAGAAAATTGCTTCAGTTGGCTCTATGTCATTTTGTGTATTTCCAAGATTGCTTTTTTTTATGAGTGCTGAACAAATAATCCACTGTTCCTTTAAATCAAGATCATATGCCACTGTAATTCACTCCTTCCTCAGGATATTGCAACTAGGTGACCTCCTCATCTTTCCATAGCAACTCTAGCTGGGAAAGACACAGTAGTTGCCCATTTACATTCAATTCAGCTGACAAGAATTAACCTTCCAATTACCAAAAACATCTTTTGAATTACTTGTGAAAGGTTTTACAGAATGCATAATTCTCCCCAGACTAGCTTCTAAGGCAGTCTTTCTCAATCTCAGCAACCTTAAAGTGGAGAAAGCCCCAAAATCTGTATAGAACTATAGCTTCCTAGCCTCTTACCCCACCCTTCCTTAGGAGCTGCATCTAAGCCAGGGGTGTCAAACTCGCAACGTCACGTGACATGTCACGATGTATCGCAACTTTTTTTTCCATTGCCAACAATGGGGTGGGCACGGTTTCGGCATGATGCATCCGGCCCGTGGACCGGCAGTTTGACACCCCTGATCTAAGCAATCTCCATTTCTTGAGCAGCTGGCAGCCATTTTCTGCCATGGGTGTCTCTTCAGGAGGTGGCTCCCACAGGGCCTCTTTATCTGGCCTTGCCAAAAGGGGCCTCTTGTTAAGCCACAGGCTCCTCCTAAAGTGTGCCACAGGGCCTTTTGGGTTTCTGCAGCTGCTGTGCTGTTTACAGAGTCTACAGGCAGTCCTCGACTTAACAGTCATTTGTTTAGTGACTGTTTGACGTTACAACAGCATAGAAAAAGATGACTCATGACTGTTTTTCAGTCTTGCAACCATTGCAGCACCCCCATAGTCACCCCATAATCAAATTCAGACCTTGGCAACTGATTGATATTTATGACAGTTGCAGGGTCCCAGTGTCATGTGACCGCCTTTTGCGACCTTCTGACAAGCAAAGTCAAAGGGGGAAGCCGGATTCACTTAACAACCATGTTACTAACTTAACTGCAGTGATTCACATTACAGTTGTGGCCAGAAAGGTCATAAAATGGGGCAAAACCCACTTAACTCTCTTAGTAATGGAAATTTTGGGGTCAATTGTGATTGTAAGTCAAGGACTTTCTGTACTGCCTAGCCCAGTGGAGGCGAACCTATGGCACGGGTGCCAGAGGCGGCACTCAGAGCCCTCTCTGTGGGCACGTGCGCCATCGCCCCAGTCCTAGGCCTTCAGCTGGGTTTTATAAAACCTTTTTGCTTTAGGCCTCCGCTGCCGTGTACAAAAAAAAAAAAGGTTCAATCAGTCAATTTCAACTTCTCGCAGGGAAAAAAAAGATCTCGCAAAGTTGCGATTGAACTTTTTAGTCCACCCAGTCTGCCGTTACCACCGCAGCCACGCCCATCCAATGGCCACACCCACCCAATGGGCCACACCCACCCAGCACCCGACGAAGCATAAGTGGGTTTTGGGTTGCAGTTTGGGCACTCGGTCTCTAAAAGATTCGCCATCACTGGCCTAGCCCTTCCTGTTGGCCTGTTTCTGGCCTCCCAGGCCAAATCTGTTGACAGGCCTCTTCAAAAGCCTGAGTGTTGCTGGATAATCCCTGGTTTTCGTTCTTCAAGTGCTGCTGACTCTCCTACCTTGCCATGGCCTTCTTTGCACCTATATCGCCTGCTGTAACTTCAGGCATACCTAGCCATCTGCTATTTCTATTAGATTTCAACTGCTTAAGCTATTTAGCTTAAAGGGAAACATACTTTTCATCTCCTTAAAACTTTTATTTCATTTTCTGTCTCCAAGCAGCCCAAATCTGGAAACCAAATCTGCATGCCTCCCCTCTCTCTCTCATGCTCCTTTGCTTTTCTTCCATAAACACACATGCAAATCCTGGCTAGGCTGGAAATTTCTGCTTTTCTCTGCACAGTAACATTGGGGTAAGCAGGTGGAGAACACTGTATAAAGCAACAGGGAAGGGAGGAGCTGTGAGGAATTTCTTTCCACGTCATGCTGGACCTTTTCCTTTTAATGTGCCCTTATGGTGCACAAAAGCGTAAATGGATCTAAATATCCCATGAGCCTGCAGTACTTAAATGGCCTCAAACCAGCATTTCAATTTCTTTGGGCTCTGTTCCAAGAGCATTCCTGGGAAAATGAAATTATAAAGACAGTTTTGCATCTAAAACTGGTTAGCTAAATCGTTGGAGAATTTAATCCTGATTTCTCATTATATAGCAGTGATCTTCTCAACACCTTGTATTATAAAATAGTCATCCAGTTCAGGAATGTATGTTATAGGTGAACATTTTTTATCTTGATTTTTTTTTCTTCATGCTCAAAGAAACAGTTCCAAATTGTCTGGCTCTGATTCAGTTTCAGTGACTGCTCTACTCTATATAAGGTCACATTGAGACTTGTCCTGGATTACGGCCCTTAATACAGCGGGATCGAGTGTAGACTGGAGTTCCCATTGTAGCTTATCCTGGACCAGGAAACCCCAGCAGCAGTTACATCCTTATCCCCACGTGTTTAAACCACTCTATACCTTAGAAAATGATTCAGAAATTAAAACTGATACAGAGCATACTAAGGGAGGACATCTGTTACATCTTAAATCACAGTGTTGTAGCTGTATTGATTGGCCATAGTCTTCTGAGACCAATTCATAATGCTAGTTTTCATGTTTAAAGTTCCATTGGAGATCTGACGAAGTGGATTGGGAGCCAGGGAGGTTTGTGTGAAAATAAATCTGTTAATCCCTAAGCATCTGGAAGTTGCATTTTTTTGGCCTCTATTTGACACCTAGTAACTACAAGATGGATTAGTATCAAAGGGTCATTACTGATTTTAGAGGATGTTGGCTAAAAGTTTTAATCATCTTGATTTTTTTTTCATTTTTCAATGAAAAAATAGAAATTGTTGATATTTTATTTGTTGCCAAATTTTAATAATGCAGTCTCAAGAAATGCTCAAGGAGTTGGAAAGTACACTAAAAGACTGCATTCGAAAAAATCACCAAGAGGATGCATAGGTAGTTACGCTAGGCAAGAAGCAGAAAATTGGATATAATTGTTGCCTTCTTAAAATAAGCAGAAATATTTGTCTTTGTGAGATAAATTTGTGGAACCAATTATTCATTTAGAATTTATTCAAATTGAGAGATTCTTAACATTTTTTTCCTAAACAGCCAATTTATTGAGAATTAGTGAGTACAACATCTGTCCACCCAGCAGCTGGAAGCTGTCTACTTTGAAGTGAGAGTAGAACTAGTATGTGGATTGATTCCACTAGTTTTAGGCTCTCTTGCTGTGTTAGGTTAGTAAATCAGCTTTAAATGGCCTTATTTCATTTCATTGTATTATTAAGTTTATAGTCTATATTCTTATATAAGCATTCTGGGCCATTAACAACAAGTAAAACAAATACAATATATAAAATGTGACATTAAAGTAAGCAAAAGGAATTAAGTTTTTTTAATCTGTGCAGATTATATTCTGATAGCTATCGTGTTGCTTTCCCATGCACAAAGTGTTTCTTGATTCTGCCAGAAAACTTAGTGTTCATTCTTTTTTTCTCCCCAGATCATCTACAACAGATCTGAATGTTGCTCTCAATGAATGCATGGTAGCCGTGAATTTCTTTCTGAATAACAAATTCCAAGATGCCCTTGCTTCTCTGCAAACTAAGTGAGCCACTGCTTCCATCTTCCCTCTTCTGGTTATGATCAACATACATAATTACAGGATTTAGAGACAGGGAAATGTTTTATAAGACTTCAAAAATTAAGAATTTCAAACATGTTGATAACAGCAATTAGTACCAGCTAACATGGATTTGTAAACAATAAATTGACAAGTTGACAAAACTCTGCTAGGTTTAATGTAATTTACTAGATTGCATGGATAGATTAAATGAACTGTATATTGATTATAACAAAACATTTGAATAGGTGTCCTTTACTACTTAGTATATGACAGTGATGGCGAACCTTTTAGAGACCGAGTGCCCAAAAACTGACCCCGTCCCCACTCCACCCCCTGACCCGCCCCCACTCCGCCCCCCACCCCACCTGCCCACAAGGCCACTCACCACCTCCAGGGTCCACCTCAGATCGCCCAGGCAGCCCAGCAGTGCCATGGCAGCCACGCCCTCTGCCCGCGCCCCGCAGCATCAACTGTCCATGATGGGGTGTGAGGGGAGAATCTTGTCTACATTGCCTGGCTGCCATGTCCTTGGCTGTGCTGCTCCGCGTGGGCCACGCTCGGGGGTGACTCTCCTCCAGGGGGGCTGCTGGTGAGGAGGGGGGTCACAGGGGGAGCCAAGGCTGGGGCAATGGCACGTGTGCCCACAGAGAGGACTCCGAGTGCCACCTCTGGCACCTGTGCCATAGGTTCACCACCACTGGTATATGACATACAATAATAGTATTAAATGGATTTACATCTAATTGCAGAAGTTGTCTCAAAGATTACGCTTTCATATGGGCTTCCAAGTGTCTCAACAAACTAGAAAGAGATTTTGAATATGAAATTTGCATTGCTGACTACAAGGCCTAGCATGCTTTTATTAATGATTTTGGTCAGAACTGAGGAATCTGAGCTATGGAATCTTCAGAATGGTAGTCTTGACCAGATGATCAAAGCCTGGTTACTTTTTACATGTGTGTGACACACATTTAAAAAGGAGGGTTGTGCTTATCCTTTTGAGGTTGTTAGTCTGACCCTAAAGATAAACCAATCTATGGCCAGCAGGGGCACTCAGGTGGTCCTTCATTCCCATTTCTCCAAAACTTGATTGTGAAACTGATGACACGTTTCTCCTGCTATTTTAAATTAAGAAACATGAACGTGTAGTATAAACTCTATAACACATATAATATAGTTAAGAAAAAATAAGGAACACTGAAAAAAATTCCCGAATTCTAGGAAAAATAAAAAATCTCAATATTTTACCATCCCCTCTTTTAAATCTGAAAGCTTCTTTTTATAGAAAAATAGAATTTGATTTTCCCCTATTGAAGTAACAATTTTAAACCTTACTTTTTGGAAATTAGGAAACAAAAGCTCCCAGAAATTAGTATTAATTAGAACTTCTGGGTGAAGATTTTTGGTGGCCTATTGTTTAATTATTCACCAGTGACAAAACTGTTCAGATTTTTGCATCCCAATATCAGTAATATTCTAAGATAGAATTATTGTGTTGCAATTTAGGAATGTCATATTTGCAACTCTGCATGTGAACCATAAGATTTACATCTATTAGAATCAATTTGGCATCAGAGTTCAATTCTCTGTTAACCTGTGTATTTCCCAAATGTACTGAAACAACTCCCTAGTTTCTGTATTTTATTTGTAAACTGATTTTTCCATAAGAAAAACAACCTTATATATATTTTACTTGAATATGTACATTTTATATGTATTTCTTCTGAAATACATTTTTGTGTATTGTATTATAAAAATCTGAATAGTGCAAACTTTGGGATATTTCAATATTCCTGAGGTCCAAATACATATTTTGAAACACATAATTAATGTACAGTTAAATGCACTAAAACACACACTGAATGGCATAAAAACAGACAATAAAGGTAGTGATTACAATGACATGTAGTTAGCAGATTATGATTTTTGTCTGGGAGAATTTTCTATGTCTTATTTGAAGCTGTTTATATTTCTTGTTTGGTTGCAAAAAAATAAAAATAAATTTAAAAAGGTATTTATTCAGAATTTAAACAGTGATTTATATAACACTGAAGGACTGGATGTAAATTATGGTGTACTTTATTGGGGTGGTTTTTCAGTGTCAGTTTCTATTGATGCAGAACCTGTGGAAAGTCACCGATAGCTGTAGAGTGAAGGAGCATATTGACATTCTGTGTTCTGGGCAAAAACATGAATCATATGATATTCTGGGGTATGTTAAAGGAAAATGATAACAATAATTATATTGAAGTATTGAAAAGATAGCTTTAAATGCTTTGAGTTATTAGATTGGTAAGAAAGACTGAATAGTAATAGCAGGAACAGATATTTTATTGCATCTCATGATACATAAAATGTCTAAATATATTCACCCATGTTGTATGGCTGTACAGTATTCTATTCTTAATTCTACTCTACTTTGTTCTGTTCTGTTCTATTGTTATCTAACTCTCTGTTCTGTGTCTGTTGAATATATTGGTTATAAATCAGAAATTTATGTTGGTGCTTGCTTACAATGTTTCTCTATATTGAGGAATGTTGTGAAATGTATACTGTTTAAAATGCATCTTTTTTTAAAAAAAATGTAAAACAGGACAGTAGGAGATTTTTTTTTTGTTTTAGCATGGTGGATACAGCTCTCCTTGTTATAGCTCAATCTGCTGTGCTATAGAGAGACACAAGATCCCTGAAAGAATAAAGCTCGGAAAAGTAATTTCTTGTTGGATGTTGCTGCAGCCTCACTTGTTTCTGTATGACACTGCAGATGGCTAATATCGTTGCCACTGGGGATTTTGGCTGATTGCCTGTGGAGATGTAAGAGAGAGGGATATGAGCAGCTGGAATGGACTGTCCTTGTGTAAGCGTTCCAACCAGATGGCCATGTTACAAGTGCTTTCCAGAAGTCCTTGAACTGACGAAAAAGTCTGTTGGCATAAAATTTGCTTCCCCAATTGCTGTGACTTTGCTCTGCTATTGAACGTGAGACAAATTAAGGAAACCAGTAGATGGATTCCCCCAATCTTTCCCATCCTATCAAGCTTAACCTACTAACAGGACAACAACTATCAATCGGTCCTTAGCATGGGATGGGGCACATTAGGGCTAATGCAAGAGGATAATTGAAATGGCATCTTTAGTTTTTTTTTTTAAAACAACAACATTTTTTTAATTGCATGTCACATTGCCCAACAGTCTGCAGGCAAGGAAGTATTTCATGTATATGACTGATCAGGCGGTTTCTTAACATGGTTTTATTGTGAAAGAAATATATGACTAAAACAGTGCCACTTACAAGTGCAAAGAAAGAACGCAAATTGAGGCAAAAGGGAGCTGTTGATAATGAGTAAGTGATATCCTTGACTTAATGTTGCCATAGAACAGCAGTGCTTGCTGGCGGCAAGTGGAAACAGTTTGTGGGTGGCCAAACAGTCAGAATGAAGTAGTAGGTAAAATAGCATTGCCCCCCCACCCACTCATCAGAATAATAACAGCATTTAAGGCCACGTGAAACTATTCTCTGTGAGAAGTGGTAAACCAGTAATGTCCCCAATATTAACAGAACCAGCAATATATAAGTAGGAGAACCTGACTTTCTTTTTTAAATCAACCTCCTGTGTAGTTCTTCCAAAACAGTATTACAAGATTGCTACTCTTTCAGAGCCCCAAATCCATGTTTAAAAACAACCTAACACTCTTTTAAAATGATGCAAAACTCATGTTTATAAGGAACCTGAATAACACCTGACAAATATTTCAGAAATTCTCGGTCAACTGAAAGAGGGAAGTTCAGAGCTTGATGCTTTCTCTCTTCCTGTTTAACAACTACATGAAACCCCTGGATAAGTTCATGCATTAGTTTGGAGTCTGGCACCATAAGTATGCTGATGACACCCAATTATACAGTACATCCCAACCTGGGCCAGCCACATGATGCTGTCAATAGAGGTAGTCCTCGACTTATCATCATTTGTTTAATGACATTTGAAGTTATGATGGTGCTAATCAGTCCTTGCATTTATGACACTTACAGGATCCTTTTAGTCATTGTGATCAAAATGTGGATATTTAGCAACTGGCATGTATTGGTTGCACTGTCCTAAGATCATATGATCACCATTTGTAACCGTCCCAGCTGGCTTCTAACAAGCAAAATCAGTGGGTAAGCCAGATTTGCTTAATGACCACAATGATTTGCTTAATGACTGCAGCAAAAAATATCTTATGGGGTTTAACTCATCCACTTTGCTTAGTGACAGACCTTCCGGTCCCAATTTTGGCCGTAAGATGAGGACTACCTATATCCAGTGTTTAGAGGCTGTTTGGGTTTGGATGGGTAGAAAACAGGCTTAAGGTCAATCTTGATAAGACTTGCTCATAAATTTTAATATGTAATCTGCCAGTCTCGCAACTGAGAAAACCTTGGCCTTCACAAAACATTCCTTTATTGTCTGTGATGTCTCGCTTTCATTTTTTGTCTAGATTTCTAACATTCCTTCTCCAAAATAACAGATATTATTTTATTTCATGATCATATTATCATCTTAGTGAATTTTTAATCCTAAAAAGACAACATCTGTTGTTTCTTCAGTTTCTTCTCCACCAGTTTGCATTGGGTTGTCATTATGTGTTGACATTGTTGACATAATCTTTGTTTTGTTTTGTTTTTTTAAAAAAAGGTTGGAGTAGTGGACTGTCTTTTGCATGTTCTACTTTCACCTTCAACAGAGTTTCTTTCAGTCTATTATTTACAAGCCCTCCCTGTAAAAATGCCTGATTAATTCAAATAAAATATATAAGGCCAGGCTGGTAATAGGCATACGACATAGGCATGAGAATTTATAAAATAGTAAACTGTAAACTTTCAAAAACAAAACAAGATATATGATTTGATACACAATATGCTTTCTATATTATGCATGTTCTATAATTATAAATTAAAATGTGCATTATTTTAATTTATACATTTTTGTTTATTCATACTATTTTAAATATAAATATTGTGTTAGGAATATTTTGTATTATAAGGAACTGATGGGCTAATAACAAATTCAAGTTTATAGTGCTATCAGTTTGATATGGAAATGCTGGTGTTATAGGGAATATACTTTAGGGATTGTTGTAATTAGCTTCAATTCAAGACCTCTTTAAGAATCACACAAGCCCATCTTTTGTTTCCCAGTGTATGATGTTCCCCAAAGAATAGTTGACTGTGCTGTATCTAATGTAATTAAGTGTTTCAGATAATGGATGTTCCTTTCCTTTACTTAAGAGCTCATTTAATTAACATTTTACCCTATTGATATCTATGTTAAATAGAACATTGCAGAATGCAAGGACACTAATCTCACTGCTACTTCAAATTAAGGAGTGATACATGAAAGAACTGGAACAACCCTTTGGGGATAACAAATTACTGAATAAATTACATGAACGGCATCTTTTGGACTCTTTAAAGGATTCATAGAGGGAAAAATAGGATTAATAGAGAAGAAGAGGGAACACTTAAAACACAGGGAAGAAAATCTAGACAGGCCTCTGTTTTATTGAAGCTGGATATTAGTCTCTGTAGTTATATTCTTTGTGGCTCGTAGTCCAGTTTCTGGTCTTGCAGTTTCCAATTTTATCATGTAAATATCTAGATGTCCATATGTCAGTGCAATAAATTATGTAATTCTTTCAAGTAATTTATTAGCAAATGAACATATTAGTAAACTGATCAAAGAGAATGATAAACAAAAAAATACTGCAGTAGTTCTTTGAAAATGCTTTAGATCAGCCATTGTAACCCAATACAGGCAGACATACAGAAATTAAGCAAATCTATGTAAGAAACAGAAATTTTAAAAAGAGCATTTAAAAAAATGCTTTGTAAACATTGCATTGCTAAATTTAAAAAAATATAACCAGGAAATCCCTTAGGGAAGACTTTAGCAAAATGTAAACCTTATCTCTTTGATACTTCTAAGGGGAGCAAGATTTTAGTGAAAGTGTCTGCCTTTCAATACGTTTTTGCAGATGATGTCTGTTTTATTTTCAAACATATTATTAGGAATACAATGAAAGAAAGACACAAACCATTCTTTAGGCATCAGCCTCAGGTGGAAAACCGTATCTGTAATATTTTGTTAGCCTCTCTTCCTCTATATCTCATGGAGGAAACACTATATCCTAAAATAAATAGATGTGATTCTCAGTATGAAATTTAATTTATAAATAGGATAGATTTTACAGTCTTAGATAGCACTGCCTTTAATGCTCCTGTACATTCTTAAAGACAAATTTCTTTCTTTTCTTATGCTACCTTTGGGCCTTGTCTACATATTTCTCTAACTTCTCTCCTATAGAAAAAAGGATAGCATGTATCATGCTTTGACTTATGCTACCATTTTGGAAATTCAGGCCATGATGACCTTTGACTCCAGGGACATATTGAATGCTGGACATACAATGGAAGAAGCTCAAGTTATATGTCAGAAGTAAGCACATAAAATGCAATAATTATGCAATTGGTACATAAGATGCTATTTTTTTTTCTTCTGTTCAGTCATGTCCAATACTTGAAGACTGCCTGGACAAGTCCCTGAAGTTTTTTTGACAAGGTTTTTCAGAAGTGGTTGTCACTGGCTTCTTCCTCGGGCCAAGAGTAAGTGACTGGCCAAGGTCATCCAGCTGAGTTTCTGTCCAAGGTGGGACTAGAATTCCCAGTTTCCCAGTTTCTAGCCTTGTGCCTTAATCACTATACCAAGCTGGCTCTCTAAGATGCTATTACAATAATGTTAATTGGAAACATATTTAAAAAGCCCAGTAGTCTTTTTTAGAAGCCTGCAAGTAGCATGTATATATACACGCTATTCTCTTTCACATAAACCTTATAATGCAAATTACAGGAAAGGGTTAGAGAAATGGTTAGCAAGTAAAATCAAAGATATCAGGCAAGAAAGACAAAAAGGAAATATATGGTGGATCCATAAATCTCTTCTCTCCATCAGAACTTTGTAATGTTTTCACGTTATACTTTTTCAAATAAAAAAGAAGAGTTAGATTGGCTTAATAACTTAGCCTTACCTGTATGCCCTGCAGGATCCTAAAGTGATTGGTTTGGGCACATTGTAGCCCCTATGTTGTAAAAACAACTAAGGGACAGTTGCACCCCAGCTGTTCTAGGCAGGCTAGGATATCTAATTTAGCAATAGCTCTACAGGCCAAGGTGTTCTTGCCTGCCTCCATCAACTAGGAGGTACATGTAATTTATTGATAGGGTGTGCAAATAGCCTAAAATTTTGTTTTAATAGTTGAGTTCTGTTAAATTTAATATGGATATACAGTAGAACCAATTAATTAAACTCAGAGCTGGCTTGGTTAAAAGAGGAGATTCCCCCCCCCCTTCACGTTAGCTTTTGAATCTTATGTCAGATTGATATAGGTAGCCCTCAACGTACAACCACTTGCTTAGTGACCATTCATACGTATGGCAGAACCTCCCCCCAAATCTATTTATGATCCAGTTTCAAACTTGCAGTCACTGCAGTGCTCCCATAGTCATTCCTCCCTGCAACCAACTGCAGGGATGCGGCAGTGCCCCCTCAGCTATCTCCCCCTGTCCAATCCTGCCAGGTCCCCACAGGTCTTGGGTCTGTTTTCCACCTCACCAGACTCCACACCTCCCGAACCCTCCATCACTGCACACTTACCTTTGGAAGATATCCAGATCTCACGTTAGAGAAGGAGAGCAGGCTGTTCTATCTCTCAGTGTCCCTAGTGCACGTGGTTCCACTCCAAAAGCGGATACCATTTTTGGAGTAGCCACAATGAATTTCAGGAGACCCAGTGGGGGAGGGAGAATCAGGCCCAAGCTCTGCATGGACCCCAAAGGGCAAGAAGTAAACCCAGGGTGCCTCGGGGCTGGGGGGAAGCTTGGGAGGCTCAGGGGCAGGTGGGCCTCACCCAGCATTAGATCTTCCAGGGAGTTCCCCCATCTCAGAGGCACTCTATGTTCTACTTAATGATCAGCTTGGTTGCTTAACAACTGCATTGGGGGGAGCAGGGATAGGGGTAGTTAAGTTAGGTTAACAACCGTCATGATGTGTGACGATAATAGGCAACCTTCATTACAGTCATGAGTTGAAGACTACCTATATAACAGGTATGAAACTTACAAAGTGAAGAAAAGTAGCAAGAGTATTGAAGAATGTCTTTCAAGAGTATTGAAGAAAAAGATGTGTAATTTTTTGATTTGAGAATAAACATCTATGTGCTTTTATTAAATACTAAATTCCAATGAATTAAGTGGGATTTACCTTCTAAGTAAACAGATACAGAATTAATATCTGAGATTCATTTTCTCCACAGGAGAGGGGATTACAGACCTGTTAACCGCCAGTATTTTAAACTAGGGTTCCTGTTAGCACCAGTCATCATGTCTTACAATTGTCAGGAATTATAGATTCAATCAATTCAGAAAATATATTTCAATTTTGAGAAAAGTCAGAAATTCATGCATCCAATATTATGCATTCTAGAATGTGTATCAATTATATTTCTGAATTATTTGCTTAACTGCAAGTATACTTTAAATATTCAGCTCCATAATTTTTCTTTAGGTTTCGGAAAAAGTCTTCTGTAGCAGACTCTTTCAACAATTTAGTGTACAAAGGCAATCTTGCTCAATTAACTGAAGGTAAACAAAAAGTTAGCACTCTGTTATATTACAGGCAGTCCTCAACTTACAACAGTTTGCTTAGTGACCATTCAAAGTTACAATGGCACTGAAAAAAGTGACCTATGACCCCTTTTCACACCTATGACCATTGTAGCATTACCCACAGTCACATGAATCAAATTTGGATGCTTGGCAACTGATTCATATTTATGACGGTCGCAGTGTCCCGGGGTCATGTGATCCCCTTTTGTGAGCTTCTGACAAGAAAAGTCAATGGGGAACCCAGATTCACTTAATAACCATGTTAATAATTTAACAACCGCAGCGATTCACTTAGCAACTGTGGCAAGAAAAGTCGTAAAATGGGGCAAAACTCAACAAATTTCTCATTTAACAACATAAATTTTGGGCTCAGTTGTGGTTGTACGTCGAGGACTGCCTGTATTCTGTTGATATAACTGATGAATAAGTATTGTAAGCTTCAGATGTTGCATTATATGTCTATCTAAGTTTGGGAAACAGTTCCATATCCATTGTATTGTAGAAAGGATTTTATCTTCCTCTTACTTGCTTGTCTCCAAAAATGGCCTCTTAGCATTTTTAAGTGGCAATAGGTGGTCCTTCAGTTTCTTGTCTGAAAAATACTTTTTTACAACATTGATAATAATCACCTTATGTAGAGAAAATTTGAAATATTTCTTTTTTACTTTTCTAGAAGAAATTCACGCAGAAATTTGTTATGCTGAATGCTTGCTTCAGAGAGCAGCTCTTACATTCCTCCAGGTAAGGATGTTGTTTCAGGACCTGGTATTGTGAAGGCAGTCAGGGGAATGTGAGAGTGGCAAGTATGAGTTTTTGTTTTAAATACTTACTTTATCGCTTACGTTTTTTATGATATTTTTAAATGCAACTAATACATAATTATTAAGGGAATCCCATGTTTTAGTTTATAAGATTCATAAGTGGATTAGTTTAATAAAACAAAATTGGCATTTGTTCATTTGTCTGGGCTAGGTTTTTTTTTTTTCATTGTGATGCCTCCCTCCCTGCCAAGGTATACAGCACAATTGCCCATTGTGCTGCTGTACTGCTTGCCTCTCTGTTCAAATATGTTCTTAAGAGATAAGGAAATGATACTGAGGGAGTATATAGGAAAGACATGTACGAGATATAAGAGGGAAAGAGGGAAGACCATTATTGTTTTTTGTAGGTTTGGGGGGAAATTAGATAATAACTTTAGCTGAAAAGAAAATAAACCATTATTATTATGGATGCAGAAAGTTGTGTGTGTGTGAGAGAGCGGGGGGAAGAAGGAAATCTTGCATTTATTAATTGATATTAATAAATTGTATTTCTTAGCTTACTATAAAGCCCATGACCATAAATTATGTTCTTACTCTATAGTTTAAATTTAGTAGGGAAATTTGCTGAAGCAAATGTTTAGATTGACGGTCTATTTGTGTGTGTGTTTTTAATGATAACTTATTTGAATGAATTGGGTATTTTCTTAGTATATTTTAGTATATTTTAGCAGGAACAATTCAACTTCCTGTTAATATATCAAATTTATCAAAAAATGAGATTGGTAACTCTCATAGTGTGCTTTCAAAATAGCTAAATAGTGGATTTTTTTTATTACAGTTAGACTGAGTTTTAGCAATTTACCAAATAATTATCTCATAATTAGTCACTGTCCATCTGAAGCAAGAGTATTTAATTGACTAATAAACTGAAATAGACAATCTATTCTATTTTTCTTAGGATGAAAACATAATTAGCTTTGTGAAAGGCAGCATCAAAATAAGAAATAGTTATCAAATATACAGGTATGTGGTATTTGAAATTGTTTGATAATTTGTATTTTTGCAGTGACAAACTATTAATCTAGATCAGGGGTGTCAAACTGTCGGCCCATGGGTCGGAAGCGTCGGGATGAAACCGTGCCTACCCCATTGCTGGCAATGGAAAAAGTCATGATACGTCATGACACGTCATGTGATGTTGCGAGTTTGACACCCCTGCTCTAGATAGTTCTGAAAAGCAAATGCTTCTACTCGTCACATAGTCCTTTAAGGTAGAGCAGATCAGGAAACATACTCCACAGGAAGATCAGAACTATATTTCTTGTAAATCTGATTGTGCTACTCCTTCCTTCTCTCTTATTCCACAATCAAGTCAGGAAGGGGTTCTCCTGAGTCTCTTCTTAATACTGCAGAGAGTCCTTGACTTACGACCACAATTGGGATCAGAATTTCAGCTGTTCATTGATTTGGGCGTTATGTGAATCATCAGATGTCTGGATCTGATGTTTACCATGGTTGTTAAGGGAATCAGACTTTTTAAGTGAATCTGACTTCCCCAATTTACTTTGCTTTTTGGATACTGTCTGCAAAGGTTGCAAATTATGGTCACATGACCCTAAGATACTGTAACTGTTATAAATGCAAGTTGGTTGCTAAGCGCCTAAATTGAGATTATGTGACTGCAGGGATGATGTGACAGTCATAACTTTACGGATGGGTTGTAACTCACTTTTCTGAGGCTGTCTTCACCTTGAACTGGTGTTAAATGAATGATCATAAGTTGAGGACTATCTGTGCTGTTAATTTATTTTATTTTATTTTTATTTAATGTGTTTAAAGTACAATCTTTTATTCTAGAATTCTCACCAGACTTAAGGCACTCAATAAATACAGTAAAATGATCTGAAAAATATAGCAATGAAACAAAAGCTGTTAAAGTAGAAAAAGTTGATGCAATCAAAATCACAATTAAAAACCATCATTTGCAGAACCATTGCTTCTTCTCCATCATGTGGATAAATAGGCTAGTCAGGCCCAGATCAACGAACTTCAAGACCTTCCCGGACTTCTGTGTCTTCTTTCTAAATGTTCAGTATTGGAAAGAGCAACTACATAGGCTAGTCGAAACTATCATTGGAACTTCTGTTTCCAAGCTTAGAGTTAATTACATCTTCAGTCTTGAAGGGAAATCTGAGAGGCTTCATGGAATGCTCTCTCAGGAGGCAAAGCGTTAAAAAATACTTTAAGTATGCTTAAAAGTGTGTGAAGTCCTCTTCCCACATTTGTGGAAGGGATTTTCATATTGTGGAGCTCAGTGGTGGGATTCAAAAATGTGAACAACCGGTTCTCTGTGTGGATGCCGCTTCCGGAAGTCTATTCTGGGCCTGGGCAACAAAAAATTAGCTACCGGTTCTGCCAAACTGGTGTGAACTGGCTGAATCCCACAACTGGTGGAGCTCCTCCCCAAAAGTCCAAATGTGGATCGTGCTTATTTACAAATAACATCAGGTTTTTCTCATGTCCCTGGGCTAATAATCGTCGCTTAAATTCGGTGAGCTCACCAAAATGGCTGCTATAGAAAGTTTTTTTTCATTCACAAAATGGCAACATGACATCTACCGAGCAAAATAGTTAACATTTCACCTTCTAAACAATGCATTGGCCTGTAGCTGTTCTCACTGTTATTTTCAGAGAATGCTTTTGGGGACCCTGTGGAAATTAAAAACATGCTAGAGGCTGACACTTAGTTTTGCAACACCCTAGCTTCCAATTCATGTTAAAATTGAAATACTGGGTTCTATTCACTTTCTAAAAATCAGATGACATAGGAAACCATGTAGGTGCCAAGGAAGATGTCTCTTTGCTTATTGGTGACACGTGCACCATGTTTGACACCCAAAATGAATTATTACTAGTAGCCCTTAATAATTACAGTATGTGAAAATGTTGTATATTGCTTTTATTTTTATGCTTAAAAATTTGTTTAAAATGAGATAATTGGTTTTGCTAGGGTACTGGAGAATTTAATACGGTCTCCCAATTACGTCAAAGGAGAAAATCACCCCCATTTTGAAGTTGGTGTAAAGTTGGGAGTTGGAGCATTTAATCTGGTATGTACTGAAGTTCTAATAAATATTTAAATAGAATTATTTTAACTTTGTGTCAATTATTCTGATGCTAATATGTAGAGCACCAGCAAATAGTCCTTCAGGGCAATGGCAATGGCTCTTTCATGTGAGCACTTTATTTTGATATTGTCCCATCACAGATATGTAACATATGAGGGTGAAGGTTCGTTCTCTAAGCTTGTGGGTTGGTTTCCGAATGTTTCATTACCAGGCTAGGTAACATCTTCAGCGGAGTTTAGGGGATGTCTGTGTTGTGGTCTTCTGCTTATAAGGGCTTCAGGTGTGGGTGAAGCCCTTATAAATGGAAGAACACTGACACTGAGATCCCTTAAACTCTGCTGAAGATGTTACCTAGCCTGGTAACGAAACGTTTGGCGAACCAACCCACAAGCTCGGAGAACGAACCTTCACCCTCATCCTATACCCGAGCTACAGATATTCACCACTATTGCATATGTAACTCATGTCAAAAATATATCAGATTGTTATAAGTACTCCCTGCATTAAGGAACATATACAGCTGAACAACATAAGCTTCAAACTGAACTTGAATACTTTTCCAAGATCCATTCAAGCTATTCCATTATAAAAAAAAGTTATCAATAATTGCCATAGTTCATAGGCAGCATTCTGTATACTTGGAGGAAGGGTAGCTTTCAATTCCAAGTTTCACACAGGAAGGAAACTTCAATTATAAATGCTTTAGTTTTTTTTAGAATTTTTAGCTTCATCAGCTGCCTCCTAAAACTCTTTAATTCGCTTAGATCTAGATATTTTTATTTGAAAGTTTAAAGGCTTGAAGAAAAATAATGCCTCTGTGAAGAAATTACTTCCACAGTATTTTTCCTCCCCTGCTCTTTATGAAGCATATAGTATAGGTAGGTATTCCCAGGTTACATGCTGTTGCTATAGACCTAGTAAGGAAACTGCTTTATTAGCCAGTACTCGTGATACTGTTGGTATTGGCCAGGGGTAGGCAACCTTGGCTCTTTTATGACTCGTGGGCTTCAACTCCCAGAATTCCTGAGCCAACATGGCTCAGGAATTCTGGGAGTTGAAGTCCACGAGTCATAAAAGAGCCAAGGTTGCCTACCCCTGGTATTGGCCATATAGGATCTTGGAGCTCATCAGTTAACAGCTGCAAAATTGTCAAATGTTGTCATTGTTATAGAGACCCAATTGTTCTTTTCATGTTGTCTCTATAACACATCCTGTTATTTTCTCTATATGCTTCATCTGTAAATTTCTTTCACTACAATGCTTCACGGGCAGTGCTGAATCTTAAAATCTTTGGGTTCCTCTACTAAGCAGTCCTGTATGGGAGAGTATACTAGGCTTCTTCCCAAATCATGCTGTCTTAAAAGAGTTTATCTCATTTACTACGAAATTTATTGCCCATCTTTTTGTTTCAAGATTGTGATTCTTCGGTTCTAACTGCTTTGAAGCCAAATAAGTATAGAACAGCATATTTCCTTGAAATCTTCTCTGTACAATCTTCTCTCCACCAAATAGTCTCCCTCAGATGACTCTGAGCGGTAACAGGAAATGAGGAGTCCTTGGTGCTCTCTGAGCTTGCTTGTTTTCTTGCAGACGTTTCATTCCCCTAACTAGGTAACATCATCAGGACTAGCACAGATGATGTTACCTAGTTTGGGTAATGAAACGTCTGCAGGAAAACAAGCAAGCACAGAGAGCACCAAGGACCCCTCATTTCAACCCTGAGCTACAAATATTCTCCTTCATTGGTAACAGGAAATTTTCATGCAAGCAGCCCTTGGCTTAATGACTGGCCACTTACCAAGCTTTTGAAGTTATGAGGGATCCTCAAAAAATTACTTATGCCCCATTTTTGAAGTTCTCAAGTTAGCCCCCCTCCCACATCAGTAACTTGGTCATACTTTGTGCCTCAGCCACCAGCCCATATTTACAGCTGTTTGTAGTGTCCTGTAGTCACGTGACTGCAATTTATGTTTCTTTTGCTGGAAACTGGTATTTACCTCCAGTTTCTGGCAAAACCCGCCCCATTGTTAAAATTGGTTCACTTAATGACCACGTTATTAAGTGAACATCGCAGTATTCACTTAACAAGCACCACAAAAAGTCATAAAAATCAGATCTGGTCACATGGTGACCTGTTTTACAAATGTAATTGTGGGACTAAATTGTGATCATAAGTCAAGCTCTACTTGTGCTGTATTTAAGGATAATAAAAGAGCAGGAAGATGAAGTTGACTTCAGTGGATATGAACTACAGTGTAATGGAAAGACTGTAAGTTCTTTTATTAATGAAGAACTTCTATAAAATTTAGTGAGGGCAAGCTGTTTCTTTTTCTTTCTTTCTCCCACCCGCTCCAGACTCTATCTATATTGCCAACAAGGATCGCACGATTACTGGAATTTGTTGGGTTTTCTGGAAATAAGGCAAGTGTTTAGTTTAATCTGCAACACATTAGTGACAAAGAGTATAGGTAGTCTTTGACTTACAACAGTTCATTCAGTGACCATTCGAAGTTACAACAGTACTGAAAAAAGTGATTTATGACCATTTTTACACTTACAACTGTTGTAGCATCCCCATGGTCACGTGATCAAAATTAAGATGCTGGGCAACTGACTCATATTTATGACAGTTGCAGTGTCCCAGGGTCACATGATCACCTTCTGACGAGCAAGACCAATGGGGAAGTCAGATTCACTTAATAACTGTGTTGCTAACAATTACAATGATTCACTTAACTCTGGCAAGAAAGGTCATAAAATGAGGCAAAACTCACTTAACAACTGTCTCTCACAGTAACAGGAATGTTGGACATAATTGTGTTTGTAAGTTGAGGACTACCTGTGCTTCATATATTATTGTTTGTAAGAGGTACAGTACATGCGACAAGACTGTATTTGTTACTGCTTATATTTTACAGATGCAAATGGCAGATCCCTCTTGCATGCATCTTCCCATGGTTTTTAATCCTTGCTCTGTGGATGGGCATATCAAAGGATGGGGCCACAAGATACTTGAGGCATTGGGAGTGCTATTTTTTTAGCCTAGTGATAGAATAAATACATAATAAATGCAACGCTGCTGTAGTTCCAGTTTTATTCCCTCCAAAAGCCTACCATAAACTGAATGCATTTAATAATATTTAGCTTTATCAAATGGCTATAGACTACACTTATTTTACGGATGAGAATCTGTTGTAGAAAGGGAAAGAAAAAGAGAGATGTATCCAAATAACTCAATAAATCCTAACAGGAAATTGAATTTTAATCCTTAATCCAAGTTTGCATTAATTGCCTGGGATTCTTACCTCAAAAAGTAATTAACTAATGTAAGAATTACAGTTCCTGGTTTTAGAAGAGGGAAATTCTATTTATGATGAAAGGAGGAGGTGCATTTTTGGAATAATAGTGAAAAGAACCTCTATAAATAGTGAGCAACTGTATTCTCAAATCAAGAAACTGGTTGCTAAATTATTATAATTAATCTTTAGATAATCTATTATTCATCTTAATTCTGCCATTCAGTATCAGTTCTTCCACCCTAAGTTCCTCATGCTGTTATTCTTCTGTGGCATTCCAGTATTTCCTATGCTTGTTTTCTGTGTATCTTCAGATTTTATTCATGGTGGATTCTCACATGGAAACATGTAGGGGAGATTTTTTAAAAAGTGAATCTAACCAATATGCATAGACAAAACGCTATTTAGAGATTAAAGTTATAATTAAATATAGCTTATATTATATTATATGCCTGGAAGATTGATATGAATTGTCTCTTCAGTTATTCTGGATTGTTCTAAGGTTGACTTTTATTTCTTTGAGGAGCAATTTTTAAGGGATTTTGTTGTTACGTTTTTGGTTCCAGTTTGCTTACATTATCATTTTTAAAAAAATACTGAAATAACATTAATACCAAAAAGACATTTGTAATTAAGACCCCTTCTAAAGAAATCAAGTCTGACGCTAGAGCTTTTCGTCATTAATATCCCATCAGAAAAAATAAGCAATAAAATAAACATTTGCTACAATAGCTTATGCGTAAACATTATGGGAGAGCGATTGCATAAATGTAACGGATCATGATTTAGCAATTTTTTGCAGCCACATGCCTACAGTAAAAAGACAGCATGACTTAGTCTATATGTAAGACAGATTGTGTACAAACAGTACTTTGTTCATATGGTATTTCACAAAAGAAATGACTAATTACAACATTAACATTTAGGGCAACTTATAATGGTTGGTATTTCCTCTCAGGCTAGCTGTGTAAGTCATCTAATTATCTGATGCAGGTCTGATATACTGAGAGATGTTAATCTTTTGGTTTCCTTGCAGTAGAACAGACAAGGCAAGCTAAGATGTGATTAATTTGTAACCCTTTATCTGTGTTGCAGAAATATGGCTTGCAGCAACTTCAAGAAGGAGCATCAATGTGTGGCTTTAGATCTGTGCTATGTACTCTGCTACTGTTGTGCTATTATACCTTCCTGACCTTTGTGCTAGGTAGGATTTCCTTTTTTCTCTAAACCTGACTTTTTAAAATAATCCGATATAGGAAAGATTCAGGTTCACTGCAAACTTTATTTTAACTTTATTTTAATGAATTAACCATTTGAAAATAATTCTGAATTCTTCAGGTGTGATTGGTTGGTTCTTCACAATGTCCTTATCTTCAGGGAGTACAAGCCACTTTTAAATGGGTATAGTTTTTTAAATTCATCGAATTTGTATAGCTGCACTGAAATGATTTTAAGCATGAAATACTGTTAGAATTAAAAAACAGTAAATACAGGTATTACATTTAGTGACCACTTGAAGTTACAGCGGCACTAAAAAAAGTGACTTATGACCGTTTTTCACACTTACAACCATTGCAGCATCCCCATGGTCATAGCACATTGAATATTGTGGCCTTCCGGGTGCGCTTTAAGGTGTTAGTTACCACCTTTAAAGCGCTTCATGGCATAGGACCCGGTTATCTCCGAGACCGCCTTCTGCCGCAGATTCCCTCCCATAGACCGGTACGCTCCCACAGAGTGGGTCTCCTCAGGGTGCCGTCGGCCAAGCAATGTCGGCTGGCGACCCCCAGGGGGAGGGCCTTCTCTGNGGGTGCCCCTGCCCTCTGGAACGAACTACCCCCTGAGATTCGGACGATTCCGGATCTCCTTACCTTCCGTCGTGCCCTCAAGACATGGCTTTTTCAGCAAGCGGACCTGGCCTAGGGAGGATTTTATACTGGGTTCATTTTAAGGAATTCGAAATAACACAACTTTAAAATTTGGTTTAATTCGGTTTTACAGGGGGGGGATTGTATATATGCCTTTGTTTTAAATATGTTGTGAGCCGCCCTGAGTCCCGTCGGGAGAAGGGCGGGATATAAATTAAATAAAATAAATAAATAAATAAATAAATAAATAATGATTTGTTGTTACAGTTTTTTTCATTTTTGTTTTGGATTTCTTTGTGTTTTTTTTAAATGTACTGTTAGCTCTATAAATTGTTAAATAAATAAAGTACTGTGTTTCCTCGAAAGTAAGGCCTACACCTACAATAAGCCCTAGCTTGATTTTCGGGGGTGGGCCTAATATAAGCCCTATCCCAAAAATAAGCCCTAGTTTGGGGGTGAGGCACACACCTAAAAATCAAGCCTGCATCCACTAACCTTGCAGCCAGGCCTCTCCTTGCTGGCCACTTCTTCTGAGGCCTCTTCTGCAGCCAGGCCTATATTTTTCAATCACAGGGTTTTCTGGAAGGCCTGTGCAACCAAGAACTGAGCTATGGATTCAATCCATAGCTCAGTTTTGCAAGACCTCAGCAGCCGAGCACCAAGCTATAGACTGAATCCATAGCTTGGTACTTGGCTGCTTAGGCCTTCTGGAAAGGCCTGACTGCAAAATACAGGCCTGAATGCAGCTGCAGATCTTCAGCCCCAGAAGAAGTGGACCGGCTGGGTGGGGCTGTCAGTGCCGGAGATGAGGTAAGGCCTACTCCGAAAATAAGACCTGGTTCCTCTTTTGGAGGCAAAAAAAAAAAAAAAAAAAAGACCGGGTCTTATTTTCAGGGAAACACGGTATTTGTGAAAAGAGCAAGCCCTTTCATTTGTTTATACAAATCCAATAAAAGGAGTCTTACTATATTACAAGTACATCATTTACTGTTTCATTTTTATAATTCAGCCAGACTTGCGCTACCAATTTTTCTTCAGTTTATTTTACTTTCCCCCCCAATTAATCCAGGGACAGGTAAAGGAAATGTTGAAGAAGCAGAGAAACTTCTCAAACCTTACCTGACTCGATATCCAAAAGTAAGATAAATCTTAAGTTGATCTACCAAATACTGTTGTGCAGTGCCTCATTTTTTAAAAATTGCAAAAAACTAATGTTTTCTCTTGGATTTCTTCTAGGGTGCCATATTCCTGTTTTTTGCAGGGAGAATAGAAACAATAAGAGGCAATATTGATGGAGTGAGTAATCTGCTTTTCTACCCTTCCCATGCTATTATTTCAGTTTAAGAAAAAAAATAATTTATGATCACAAGAAGTAGAGTGTAAGATAATTTCTATAGTGGATTAAGGAGATCGTTAATTTTGAGCCGCTGTACATGAGGCCTCATAGTTAGCATGCTGGCTAGTTGGAGTCTTTTAAGGACTCTAAACATAGAGACTGTGGGAGGGGGCTGTAAATTATGGGGAGAGGAAGTTAGGAATTTCTTTGTTCTCAGAGAGTCCTGATTAGATGCCTTGCGGAAGCAGACACCCTAAGAAAATAGATTTCATACAACTGAGTTGAGGAATTCAGTCCCAAAATCTTGGGAGAAAGAAAGCAAGGTAAAAGATAGAAACCAAGGTAAAAGAAAGTAAAATTAGCAGTGAAAATACAGATAGGCATTACACAAAGAATACACAGGGGATTCTTTATTTATTTCTCTTGTTATTTCCCTCAGTTGTGAGTAATTGTGATTAAATTATTTTTTCAAATGCTTATTTTATTACTTGTATTATAATAAAAACCCTGTTCAAAGATAATGTTAGGAGTAAATGGTTGATTTAAGATTTAAGAAATACAGGTTCAAAATGCCACTTGGTTATGAAGTAATCTTAGACTAATCCCTTTCCTTCAATTCAACCTCCCTTACAAGATCACAGTAAAGATAAAGGGAGCATGCTGAAAAACTATGTATGTATATTACCCTGAATTGCTGGGAGGATCAGTGGAATAAATTTAAAAAGCAATCAATAAATATTGGGTTGTAAGGGAAATGATTAATACCATATACTTTCTCTGTATTGTCTTCCCACACAGTTATTTTCTCAGTAATTGTTTCAGGATATTAGTGTTAGTTTCTTAGACTAATGAATGTTTGGAACACATGTTTTAAAGTTATATTAATATCCAGTCAGGCTTATATTTGTCTTTGCTTTTTCAGGCCATCAGAAGGTTTGAGGAATGTTGTGAAGCCCAGCAGCTTTGGAAGCAGTTCCATCACATGTGCTATTGGGAACTGATGTGGTGCTTCACATACAAACGCCAGTGGAAGATGGCATATTTCTATGCAGATCTGCTTAGCAAAGAGAACATCTGGTCAAAGGTGAATTAAAAACAATGATGCGGGCAGGATTACAGATAGTCCTTGACTTACAATCATTTGTTTAGCAATTGCTTGAAGTTACAATAATATTGAAAAAAGTGATTTACAACCAGTCCTCACACTTACAACCGTTGTCACATCCCCATAGTGATCAGAATTCAGGCGCATGTATTTATGACGGTTGCAGCATCCTGGGGTCATGTGATCACTATTTGTGGTATTCCTAGCCAGCTACCTACAAGCAAAGTCAATGGGGGAAGTTGAATTCACTTAACCACCATGTGATTCACTAAATTATAGTGATTCGCTTAATAACCATGGCAAAAAAGTTCATAAAATTGTCTTAAGTCACTTGACAATTGCCTTGCTTAGCTAGAGAAATTATGGTCCCAATTGTGGTCAAAGGTTGACGACTACCTGTATTTGATAACAAACAATGCAGGTTTGCTCACGGAATTATATAACTGATAAAGAAATGTATTCCAGGACATCTTTAAAGTAGTTTTGACTGACTTCTGCAGAATAAAAATAAAATAGCATTACTTCTGGACCGGAGGGCAGTTTAGGAATGTACTGCTGACTTTATCATACAGTAGTGGTTAACTTTCCTTTTTAATTAATACAAAATAGTATTTGCAGTTTAAATGGGAATGTCCAGTTTGGTTTATAGAAATGCTTCCTAATATATAACATACAGATAGTCCTCAACTTACAACCGTTCATTTAGTGACCACTCAAAGTTACAATAGCACTGACAAAAGGGAGTTGTGGCTGTTTTTCACACTTACGACCGTTACAGCATCCCCGTGGTCACGTGATCAAAATTCAGACACTTGGCAATTGCAATGTATTTATGACGGTTTCAGTGTCCCGGATTCATGTGATCACCTTTTGAGACCTTCTGACAAGCAAAGTCAATGGGGGAAGCCTAATTCATTATTAACTTCACAACTTCAGTGATTCACTTAACAACTGTGGCAAGAAAAGTTGTAAAATAGGGCAAAACTCACTTAACAACTGTTTTGTTTAATAACATAAATTTTGGACTCAATTGTGGTCATGAGTCGACTACCCATATATCTTAATATGATGTATGAACCCAATCAGTGAATGGATAGTTTCAAAGTTTGTGCCTAACTGGATAAGAACCCTTTTTATTTCATACTGATCAGATATATTTTATTCCCATGAACAGTATAGTTGATAATTGTCTTCCCACAAATACAAATGAGTTTTTTTCTTAGGTTTGAGGAACTGGAATTAAAATTTACCAATTAAGAGTATTTTTTTTTTGACTGTGCATCAACATGTGATTATTTTTATTTTAAAGTGACCAGATAACCCACTTAAATTTGAATCCTCCCTGGCATAAATCTTAGAACTGGCCATATAGGAATTACATTTTACTCTTTTCCAGGGGTTTTTAGTTTTCCCTTTTAAAAATAACAGGCCCATTATGTAAATGATTTAGTCATTAAGTTCTGCAATGGAAGTCTGTGTAGATAAAAGCCAAAATTTTATCAATTCCAGTAAGGAGAGGACCCAGGAATAACACACAGGTAGAATAGCTATGTAAAAAAGTAGTGCTGTTATTCTAGTAGTATAACCTTATGGTCCTTTTTTGTGTTTTTAAGCATATGAATTCACACCAACATTAAGAGAACCAAGGTAACTAAGTAGAAGAAGAAATGGGCAGAGGGGACAGAACTGATGCAAATTCCTTTTTAATAAATTATATAACTATTCATCTGTGTATCATATCCTTGGCAAATAATTATGAATGGATCCTTATGAAAACAACCCATTATAATGTTGCATTAGATAGTATATTGTTAAGGAAGCTATTATGTTCTTTTACAGAACTCTGAAAAATTCTGAGGTGTAATTCATTTGTTCACAAATCAGTTCTGTGTAATTTTATATTTTCTTGCTGATAAGAACAGTTATTTTCCCATTACTAGAAAATAATGCACTTTCTGCTCCTTTCTGGCTTCAACATTATTGATATGCATGTTGTATTGCAAATGACCATGAATATATCTCAAAAGTATTGTTTTTCTTTTAGGCTACTTATGTATTTATGAAAGCTGCCTACCTCAGCATGTTTGGACCAAAAGATTATAAACCTTTTGGAGACGATGAAGTTGAGCTATTTAGGTAAGATTTTTGAAAACAAAATAGATGTCAGAATGGAAGATAATGATTGATAATGAGAGAAGAAAAACTTCTTTCATTCAAATCACATTTTAAAACTAAAGTTGTCATTTTATGTACTTGTGTGAATTTTATATTTATGTCATCTTTAAAGGTAAGGGAGATCTAATGGAATATTCTATTCATGGCTATGAGTTGAATTTTGTCACAATTATTCAGGAAAGGGTATATGTTCTTCTGCTGATAATCATATACTTGCCCTAATTCTGGTAATTTCTGAGCTAAGAGAACAGCATTTTCCTAAGACAGGAACAATTTCTATCTGGATCACTCTGCCCATTGTCAGCCTAAAATCTCCCTGGAATGCCATTCATTGTACCTCTTCAGATTCTTCCAATCTCTAGAGGGAATTTGGTTGTCTGTAGCACAAAATCTTTTATTGTATAATATAGAAACAATATCATTTTTTTCTGTTCTGTTTTGACTTCTCCTGTCTTTCCTTTTTCTAGTTTTTAGAAGATTACAGTTATCATACAGGAAAGCATTTAAATGTATATCTCTGGGTTTTTTTCCCCCAGGGCTGTGCCTAGTCTGAAATTGAAAATAGCAGGCAAATCCTTGCCTACCGAAAAGTTTGCAATTCGGAAATCCCGGAGGTACCTTTCTCCAAATCCTGTTCCACTTCCTGTGCCTGTTTTGGTAAGCTGGAAAAGATCCCTCCTCCACATCTGTTTCTTATATATAGTCATACTAGACTATGAATGTTATAAAGATTGATTTGAATATGTTCATAGACCAGAACATTCTGTACAAATTCTCCTGATATTTCTTTTGATGATGCTGGAAATAAACACTCCACGAGGATTCAAACCTGCTTTTATCACTGCATGAATAAAACCTTTTGTGTGTGCATCTCTGCATAGCCGGTATGCTTTGTTTTGCTTACCATAAACAAAAGGAGTAGATTATAGGAACCAACCTTTCCCAAGCAGGTATCATCCAGTGCATTGGACATACTGAGGATGAATGATAATGTTGAAGTCCATCACAGTTGGAGAGAGTCACACTGGAAAAATCAGATGTGGACAATAGCATATGCACAGATGTATGAGTCCACTTAACCAATTATACATACATGAGAAAGAAGTACAAAATAACGATAAAGTCTGTAAATCAAGCCAATCAATGATTCATGCTGGATACCTATTAACTATAAGGGTTTTGTATATAGAGCTCCATAATGCAAATGGAGAAAACTATAAATGGAAAGTATTCCTGAAAAAGTCACCTTTATAGTGCACAAATAGATGTGTATCTCTTTGTTTCAGAAAATGAAATTCTTAATTGACTTTTTGCCTCATTTATGGCTGATAATCATTTTTTTTTGTCTTTGTTGGTGGAACAGCATAACAAGAGCACCAGATGGTGCTCACTAATAATGAAACTGTAATCCGAGGAATTAGAAATTGGAATTGCACTATTTATAGTAGGCTGTTAATAATTAACTGCAGCACCAGGCCAATTTTTATTCTGGTGGAAAGGTCCTTATTACCAAGCGTATAGAAGAAAGTGTCTTTTATATTGTGGTTCTGTTCCTTCAAACTCATGGCTAACTGATACTGACACAGAAAGGACTTTTGGGAAAGAATGGCTAACTGGAAACAGCTCCAGTAAAAGCAGATCCAACAACTATTGTGGAATGCAGAGCCAGTAAGCTGACCAGGTCTTCGTAACTCTTCTCCAGAGAAGAAGTCTTGAGATCATGTACAAGTGCTCCAGACAATTGCTTCTCATTGATAAAAGAGAATATTTGTAACTCAGGGTTCAAATAAGGGGTCCTTGGTACTCTCTGAGTTTGGATGTTTTCTTGCAGATGTTTCATTACCAAACTAGGTAACATCATCAGTGCACACAGTTGCTCTTCAGTAGGACAACACAAGACAGTAGTGTCTGGTGAATTAAGAACTCTGGGAGACAAGGGAAAGCCCTTTTCGCTCAAACCATGGTCAGTGCATTTATGGATACTGGGTTCACATACTTCTTTTTCTAATCACTTTCAGAAGTTGCTTATTAACTGCTTTTTAGTTATTAGGAATCTTTGGATTTACAAGTCTGAAAATACTGGGTGAGCTTCTTTTAATTTTTTTTTAAGAAAAAGCAAAAACATGATTAGAAATTTGATTGTGAAAAATTACAAATGAACTAAGGATCCAGATGGATTTGAAGTAAGATTTTGAAATTAATTATAAGAGTCCTTCCTGTGGGAAAAAGCTTTTGTTTTGAATTATTTAAAAAAAAATCATGAGGTAAGACTTTGAAGGTTGGACACCAGAGGAAACCAGAAGGAAGTAAACATTACAATTAAAGGAGAAAACCACTTAAATTTGACTTAGTATTACAGAATGAAGAAAAATATTTTAACATTGTATGTATTGAAGGATATTTTTGAACAATGGACCCAGAAGCTAATTTTAAGAGTGTCTGCATCTATAGATAGTTTTTAAAGATGTTATGGAAGAACAAGTTTTGCCTGACGAAAATGATATAAAAAAAGATGCTACGCTGGACATAGAACTGAAATAGACTGGTATCTTAGTAATTAAAAGGGATATACAAATAAGAAACCAAAGTAGTTAACTGGATTTATTTATATTGGATTTGAAAAAAGACGCTTGTTAAAGCTTTAAAGAATTTTGTGAGAAGAGACAATGAAAAGAACTCATGTTCTAGAACATTATTTGAAGGGACTAAAGATCAAGATTGTTAAAAAGTAAAAGGAAGGAATATAGTGTTGTTTTGTTTGATCAAGGTTAAAACAGACATTTAGACTTTTGCTGCGGAAGCACTTCAAGAGAATCAGTGATTTGATAATAGTTGTCACATGGCTCAGCTCCATAGATCTCTTAGGCCAAGGCTTTTCAAACAGTGGTACGGGTACCACCTGTGGTACATTGGCACCTGGTAGGTGGTACGCGACCATCCTAAAAAAGTTGTAGCGGGGGAGAGGAATGAGCTGAACCGGTTGCAGCACCGCACAAGCCTGAACAAGAGATAGCTGGAGCTGCAGGGCTGTCAGGGCTCAGCAGAAGCACCAGGATCAGCGCTTCTTCGGGACTGTCAGCATCTCCAGGGTCTTGTGATTTACATTCAGATGCTTGGCAACTGATTCATATTTATGACAGTCACAGTGTCCCAGGGTCATGTGAAGTAACCAAAACCTGCTGCAACCACCCAGCAGATAGGGGGAATAAAAACCAAACACTCCCACCCCACCCCCGCTGCCAATCTTCAACAGAAATGCTCACAACAATGAAAACCTCAGACAGGAGGAAGAGCGCCGCCGGGTGGGCAGGCAGGTGTCTTGCTTGGCTGTGGCTTGGGGGGCACTTTTTTCAGTGACATTGCAACTTTGAACTGTCACTAAGTGAACTGTTGTAAGTTGAGGACTACCTGTACTTCATCAGTTTTTTCCTTTTTTTTTTTGGTCATCAAGTTTTTGACACCTTGCTAGGCGACTGGTGGTACTCGGATACTGCCATATTGTAAAAGTGGTACAATGGGTGAAAAGGTTGAAAAGCCCTGCCCTAGAACAGAGGTCCCCAACCTTTTGAGCACCAGGGACTGGTTCCATGGAGAGAGGTTTTTCTGTGGAGCGGAGGGAATGTGGTTTCATGTACTGCCTGCATCCCACGGATGGGGCTTTGCTCGTTTGCATGGACCTGTTTCTGGCATGCTGCGGCCCGGTGCCAATTGACAAACCGGAGGTTGGGGACCCCTGCCCTAGAAGGTGACATGGGCGGCTTTTGTTTTAGTCTTTTAAGGTAGAAGATTAATAGTTGAAATAAATTATTTCAAATTAACATTTTTTCAAAGATCTGGGAAAATAACAACATACTACCAGTGAGGCAGACAATGTGTAGATCAAGAATTGTTGGTTGGCAGAGTTTTGCAAGAAGTTAGCAAAAAGAAAATTCTGTCACAAACTTCACAAAAATACTTCTCAAATATTTATCTGATGTACTCATATATTTTGGAAGAAGTTTCTACAATAACATACACTATATTTTAATAATTTTTAGGAAATGATGTACATCTGGAATGGTTATGCAGTGATTGGGAAGTGCCCAGATTTAACTGAAAAAATGTTGGAGTCCTTAGCAGATGCAGAAACAATCCTAGAAAAAAGCCCAGGTAATCCAGATCTCATTTCAGACACATCCTTGCAGAGGGTACAGCCAATGAAAGAGATTGTGCTTGTCTTGGAGTTCTAGGAAGTTAAGAAGATTCACCCATTCTGCTGCAGTCAGTGATTGGACTAATTGTAAGATAGTAATGATAGTAGTAATGTTATCATTGCCGGCCTGGTTGCGAATAGGCCCTGTAGTGGGCTGTGCCTCAGGAGTTGGGGACCCTTGATCTAAAGGGCAAAATGAAGCTTAATTGCCCAAAAGGCTTTGGCCAATTAAGAGTGGAAATGAGAATAAAAGAGTCTTCCCACTCCAATTCCTAATCTTAACTTGGGGTATATTTGGAAGTGTTAAGAATGGTAATAGTAACAGACAGTTTCTGGGGAACAAATTAGGTTTTGATTTTGGAATAGCATGGGTGAATGTGGCCCACTGTTCGCAGGTAGCTTCTAGTAGCTTAAAGTGTAAACATTGACTGGGTTTAAAATTAAACACTTTTGTAAGTCAGAATTTACATGTAAAATTTGCCTTCAGTTTCCATATGGAAAGTGAAAGTAGTTCACAGTCATTAAAAAAAACAGTGAAGAAACAAAAGAAAGTTGACTTTAAAATCCAGCAAGGAATTAGAGTAAATCAGCCTTCAATCAGTCAATTAACTTTTAAAAATATGAATCATATAAAGAAACAAAAACTTTAAAATATGCAGTTAAAAGCCATGACAGGCTTAAAAAACCCAAACAGGTAAGAGGAAAGATGGAGACCTGACTCCCTGACCTTTCCTACCAGGAATTGCAACTTCCAGGAGTGTCCAGAAAGTTGTTTTAGGTCGTTCCAAGCTGCTCCCATTCAATCTAGGGATCCAGCTGCCAAGGAACCAGATTAGGCAGCAAAATCAGCTGTTTGTCAGCAGGAGAAGCAAATCCCCCCACCGCTCAGCATGCCATCTTGGAAGAGGAACCCTGACTGGATTTAAACACTTTTGTAAATCAGAATTTCCTTAACTGTGGTCTGTTGAAAAATATATCTGAGTTTATACAATATACTAAACCTGAGCCAAGGATAATGATAATGTAGAGTTGTCAATATATATAAACCCAGCCAGTGAGTTATATATGTTACCCAGCCAGTAACATAATGCATATGTTACTGACATAATAGCAAATTCTTCATGCTATCACAGAATTTATGGAGTCACTAATTCAAATAACTGGATATTATATCATTTAAATATTGTACAAGGATAGTTTGAATATCTGTTATCAATAATTATAATTAATTTCATAACTAATATGTGTATGTTACAATATTTGGTGAGAATATTAAATATGTTTCACTATGTTCCCTGCCTTAAAAAGTTGTCTATCGTGATCCAAAATTGCCTGTGCATCTTCTTTTATTTTACAGCTACAGATATTCTCATTGATGACCATTGCGTGATAAAGCTTCTGAAAGGGCTATGCTTGAAATATCTTGGCAAGGTATCGGAAGCAGAAGATCACTTTACTTATATTCATTTCAAGTAAGTTTCCAAACTGGAAGATACTAATGAACACTAATACAGGAATGGCTGCATTAAATTATCAGAGCTTTCAAGCAGAGTCTCTTCATGTCAGTTAATAATCTATGTGTTTATATAGATATAATCTATATTTGTATAAGTTTTAACTGGTGTACAGATAAAATCAGGAGATGGGTTTTAGGAGAATATAAATTACTGTGGAAAGAATGTTGGTCATTTCCTGAGAGATGATTTATCTGGTAACTCGGTAGCTCCATCAGTCTGGGATAGTAGCTCTCAGGGTCAAAAAAAAGTTTAGTTTTAAAATAGCTAAAATGGCTTGAGTTGTATAACTTACATACGGGTAGTCCTTGACTTACGACCACAATTTGGACTGGACTTTTGATCACTAAATGATGGAATCATTAAGCAAATCATCATGTGACCAGACCTAATTTTACAATCATTTTTACTGCAGTTGTTAAGCAGTAAAACAGTTAAACAAGTCACATGCTCATTAAGTGAATCACATGGTTGTTAAGTGGATCAGCACACAGAAGTATTACCTAACTGGGTAATGAAATGTCTGCAAGAAAGTAACCAAACTCAAAAAGTACCCAGGACTCCATGTTTTAAGTTTTTCTCCACTTTCAATAGATCCATGCCGGTAAAAATGGTACCTAGGATGAATTTATCCTTCTTTCAACACTTAATAGGAAGACCATATGGTTATGCTGCATTATTTTAGCAAGAAGCCTATTCTATCCTGCACACTGAGGAGTTTTAAATGTTAAAAACCAGAAACATTACAAATATTTTTAATTTTAATATAACACGGGAAAGCATATGCTTAAAATGGACAGTTAAAAAAGGTAGATTTTATCCGATGCACCCATTTTTTTTGTAGATATTACAAATGTTATATTAAAGTGGAGATATTAGAGTGATTGCAAGAATAACTACAATGGACTTCTGGATGAAAGTGTACATAATCTGCTAACCTAAAATGCATGGAAACAACCTAAAATGCATGAATTTCCTCTTGTCATCTCTGAGTAACTTCACTTATTCTTGTCTGTAAAACTATTGTTATTCATTACATATACCTTGCCATTTCTCTCTTTTAAGTGAAAAGAAGATCAAGTATGATCATTACTTAATTCCAAATGCGCTGCTCGAACTTGCTTTATTATATCTGGATCAAGGTAAAATAGAAGAAGCAATTAAGATCCTGGAAAGAGCAAAGTAAGCCTGTTGAAGTATATTTTTCTCATTATTAGTAGTAGATAAGGTGATGGGAAGGGTTGAAGTGGGTTTGTTGAAAAATTCTTAGAGGGGCTCTAAGGTTGCTTATTTTCAATCATTTTGGTATACAAACATTGAAATTATACAATTTACTTCAGTGAGGGTTGAAGCATACATTTGTTATCTATTTATAAATTATACCCAAACTTATGTTTGTTTTTTAATCAAAGTTGTTAGACTTTGAGCAAATTGTGAATGTTTATGCTTGTGTGTGATACTGGCCTCATCTAGACAATTTGCAGTATTTTTTTTTAAAAAAGGAGCATTTACGTTATGTATGTTGATCTCATAACTGAACAACTGAAGTATCTGTTCTTATTGGCAGAATCTCTGTTACAACTAGTTACAATTAGTTATAGAAATATTTTGCTGCAATCCAAAGAATGTTTACTTAATAATCCCAGTGTGTTCAATGGAACATGCTCCTAACTCTTACTATTATTTAAGACTGCAAATAGGATAGTCTAACAACAAAATCAAACTAGTTTAGCTACAATAATATTAAATTTACCTAATACAGTAGGCAGCAAACCCACTTGATAATGGCAGATGATTTTTATATCTAAACAAATAAAGTTCAAGAAAGTATAAATAAATTTCAAACATGTTTATCTTACCTAATGTTTCCGAACTCTTGATACACTTCACAGACAATATCAAAAATATAATAGTGAGAGACCCAGCCAGGAAAATGCAAAAAAGCTGAGACATGAGATAGTAATTCTAGGGGGCTACCATGTGGTTGTCATGGTGGCTGTCAACTCTTAGGCCACTCCAGATCCCTCACCAAAGAAGGCAGATTGAAGATCCTAGCCCTGTTAGCTTGGGGAAATGTGCCATCATCCAGAGTTAGGTTGAGCAGCTCTGGTAGGGACTGCACTGTGTACTTCCAAAATATACTGTGTAAATATTGCTCTATTAAGTATAGATGATGATAAATGCTGTAGGTATGAACCTATCACAAATATATGTTTGTTTTAGGCAAAATTACAAGAATTATTCCATGGAAACAAGGACACACTTCAGAATTCAAGCTGCTTTGCATCAAGCCAGATCTTTCCCAGATGATGATGATCATTCTATAGCAACTGTGGTTTTGTAATGTTATTGTTTTTTTTAATCAGCAGTTCATTTGGTGTACAGATCTTCACAGATGGATATTACCGGCAATATTTTAAAATGTTTTCCATGTTCACATTCAGCACAAATGTTTTTAATTTTAAAAATCCTGAGGAATCAACACTAAAAAGCAGTATTTCTTTAATTACCCTTGTATGCCATTTTCAGCTAGTTATAAGCATTTTGAAATATAGCTGTCAGAGAGTAATACAACATAAACTAGTAGATGTTTGAAGACTTTCTGCTCACCCCTTGATCAGATTCAGATGGCTGTTAATTTTTAAACGTACTAATTAAATGGATCTTGTTTTCTTGATAATAAAAGAATAACTGGCCTGTTAAATTGCTTATTTAAATAGAACAATGTGTAGTCCTACAAGCTTGCTTATCACAATTAAATAGTTGAAAAAAGTAGAACCTCCCTCCCACTTTTCAGCTGTTCTTTAACACAAGGGCCCCCAAACCTGGCAACTTTAAGACTTGTGGACTTCAACTCCCAGAATTCCCCAATCAGCCATGCTTTAATTAATATGTAATTTGTCCTGATGTGGCAAAAAAATCAAGCTGTGTAATATTGTTGTTTTGGCAGTTTGACCAGTTACTAAGAATTTTAGGATAAATATTATTAGAATAATTGAAGAACTAGAGCAAACAATCCTGAACCAATTTCTGGAACAAAACCCAAGTTTAAAGTATTTGAAAAGAATTTATTTTATTTATTTATTTTTATTTATTTATTTATTTAGATTTATATCCCGCCCTTCTCCTTGCGGACTCAGGGCGGCTAACAACCGGGTAAAAATACAAAAATATCACACTACAAAATTAAAAATTAATTAAAAGGGAAATATTAGTAATTTGGTCTAATTAAAATTATAATTAAAACCCCTCTAAAAGTTTCCCCTAGGCCAGTCCCGCAAGCTGGAATAACCATGTCTTAAGGGCGCGGCGGAAGGAAGGGAGATCAGGGATCACCCTGATCTCTGGGGGCAGTTCATTCCAGAGGGTGGGAGCTCCCACAGAGAAGGCCCTCCCCCTTGGGGTTGCCAGCCGGCACTGTCTGGCCGACGGCACCCTGAGGAGACCCACTCTGTGGGAGCGTACAGGTCGATGGGGGGTAATCTGCGGCAGATTAAATTAAATTATTAAAACTTTTAATATGCTATTACTTCATAGTCCGTAGTAAAAAATTGATGTTGGAGATGACCAGGCTGAGCCCAACGAAGGGCCAAACACATCATAAGTCACGAGTCCCTGCACGCCCGCAAGACATCTAAGGCCAGCCTACCTTGAATGCCTCTCTTATCTCCCGCTCATTTCCCTTGATGGTTAGTTGGTCAGATTCTTGTAGAGAGCTTAAGCTTGCAATAAATCTTTATACTCATTTGAACTGCCTGAATCTCCTGATTTCCCCCGGTGCTTGACATTAATTCAACTTAGGAAAATTATTTCACAAAATATTTTATACAAGATAGCATTTTAAACTGGAACATGTATAGATTCGGCTGCTGACTCTCAATCAGTGGGATATCACAGGTGAGCGACAGAGTAAGTCACTGAAACTTTAATTAGTTTTAAAACTATATGGTAAATACGGATAATCTTCAACTTACAACCATTCATTTAGTGACCATCCAAAGTTACAACAGCACTGAAAAGTGACTTACAACCAGCCCTCACACATATATTGTCACAGTATCTCTATGGTCACATGATCAAAATTCAGGCACTTGGCAATCACCTTGTATTTATGATGGTTGCAGCGTCCTGGAGCGATTACCATTTGCGACCTTCCCTGCCGGTTTTTGACACACAAAATTACTAGAGGAACCCAGTTTTACTTAAAGCCCACGTGATTCACTGAACTACAGTGATTTGCTAACAACCGTGGCAAAAATGACTGTAAAATTGGGCATGGCTCACTTAACAACTGTGGTTAGAGGACTACCTTCATAATAACAGAATGTCTGCAAATTTTACCAAAAGGGATCTTTTTGATTCATCCCTGATGGGATCAGTTTGAGTGGGAATTCCTGGTCTACATTAATCAGAGCCTCGAAGTAAAAGACTATAGACAATAAAGTATTGTATCTTATTTGTGTTCTGCACTTATTTTCTGATTGGAAAGCTCTTGAGAAATTGCTAATTTCTTCTCCGGTTAAATTAATACCATATACTTCAGCATTTTGCACACACAACTGAATTAATTTCACAAGTTCAGTTTGTACCTTTGCTGGTATATTACATGAAACAAATGTGTCTGTACCATCTTTCAATTTTTGCAGAAACCTGAAATGATAATATGTGATTTATTCTTTCAATGTGCAATTAATTAAACATCCTGTGACAGGATACTGGGTTAGATAGACCTTTTGTCTGGATTTAAAAGCAGAGAATCTTTTCCCACAATAGAAATTACTTGCTTGGTCTTGAAAGTAGAAATTGTTTAATATTTTCCAATTTTAAAAAATGCAAGTTTGAGTAAGAAATTGCCAACTTTACTGGAGCAAATGCAATACACATACAGTAATTGTTTATACCAGATGTGAAATATGTGCATAGTAGAGAGACACAAAGCCAGTTCTTGTGCTTTGGCTGGAATATTAATTATTTTTGTGGCTCTTGAAATTTGTAGCATGTCATTTTGTTCAGTAATTGACTGTCCTTCCAAAATACCCTTTTTATTTAGTGGCCATCCTACAGTAAAGTTAAAAGTCTTGCATCTTTTTTTTTTTAAATCTGTGAGAATTGGTGCTTAATCCTGGATATATTTATTTCCCAATATGGATGCTTAGGCTATAATCATAGTTCTGTTAGTTGTATTAGAATATGACAAGTAATAATTTTTGATAAATTAGACTCATACTGTAAGCTGACCTTTGATAGGTTCTATTGAAATATGTACATATCGGGATTTAAGCAAATAACCAACATTATAGACATTTCCAACGTAATTTAGGAAACATGTTTAGAGATTCACCTATAGAAATTTGTACTGTAACATTTAGAAGTAAATCAAATGTTTACTTTTGATTTAGTAATGTTTTTTTTTAAAAAAATTATCACAAAGTTATGGCACATGGTGCACCCACTAAATTAGAAAGCTATATTGAGCAACATTCAGGCAGTTGGGCAAAATCCAATGTTATATAAAGTGTCTTATGTAATGGTAGTTTCTTTTGCTCTTCATACATAACTCCTAACTCCTCCAGAGCATGTCCTCAAATTAGGAAGCAAATAAACATTTACAGAGAAATAGAAATTATTGTCCCAGTTGAAATACATTATTAGGTAAATGACTTCATTCTAGTTATAATTTCCAATAGATTTGACATAGTTTTAAGTACCTCTGGTATTGGGCTTGATTTTTCCTTCTAAGTATTACTGAGAAATGTCATGTACCAATTGACCAAATTGTTTTGTGTAATTTGTAGAGAAAAGTACATGGTGATTTTAAGGCACACAACCTGCTTCTAAATGTAAGTATTGCTTCTTTGTAGCAGTGCACAAATATGCTTTGATGATTATAACCATGTATTTGGAATGATAAATTAAAAGGGCTGAATTTTTCTTCCACCAGTAATCAAGGCCCTGGTGCTGAATCTGGGGTGTGCGCGTACACACACACACACACACACCACCCTTGCTTATCTCATAATCGTATTTGAAAATAAAGTTTTGGGAATAAATTTTAAGTTCTCAAAAGAAGCCTGCTGAGAGTTCATAGAGTAGTGTCTCTTTTCTGTCAAAAGCCACAGGAATTTATGATGATGAAAGTTCTGTGGCTCTTGGTTTAATAGTGATCAACCAGGAATGGAGTCTGTGTTGGAAGAGACGGTGGATTGACATACAATTTTGATAGGCCAAGATCAAAGGGCAGGATTTTTGCCGGTCTTGGAACTGTCACAGTTAATATCCTTTGTAAGGGCAACAGTCAAACATGCAAAAGAAAGCTGCTATTCCCAATGTGCACATACTAGGATAGTGTTTCTCAACCTTGACAATTTTAAGGCATGTGGACTTCAACTCCCAGAATTCCACAGCCAGCATTGCTGGCTGTGGAATTCTGGGAGTTGAAGTCCACATGCCTTAAAATTGTCAAGGTTGAGAAACACTGTACTAGGAAGACATAAGTGGCAATTTGTCCACTAGATATCTGCTCCTACAAGAAAGGTTATCACAAAGGGGGAATTAAACAGACAGTCAACACAAAAGGTTTAACAATTACAGAGTAAATTATTTGGGCTACTTAACATATAACATGTGATGGAATTATATGAGGCTTCCTCACATGCCTGACTGCAGCATAGTAGCTTGCTGAGCAACTGATCAGAAAAGGACTAAGCAGGCATTGTACAAATGTTCACATCCATAACTCTGATTTGAGTCTTAAAGAAAGTTTCTGAACAAGCCATTTAACGTTTGCACTAAGAAAGCTCTATGGTAACTGGCTCTTTCAATAAAAGGTGGCCTAACAACCATAGAGACACCCCCCCCCACCAAGCACCGCCAAGCACACGTCAGGATACTGGACTGTAGATTGGGGATTCTACAAAAATATGGTCTATTGGAAAGTTGGCAGTGATGGCAGCAATAAATCAGCAAGTGGGAGGCAAGGAAGAAGAAGAAGAAGAGGTTATGAGCACCCTCTGCAAGCTATACCAGAGTCTGGGGGGAGAATAGGTTGTCTATGTTTCCCCACACACACCCAGTTGTAGAAATTAAGATGTACAAGGACATAAATTCCCAGCAAATCAATACTATTCTCTTAGCATTTTAAAAAAGGAGTCACAGAAAGAAAACAATGAACATGAAAAATGTGTTTAAAAATGGTTCATTTGCCAATTTAACATCCAAGGTAAAAGAAACAAATTCTGGCTATAATACTTAACAAGATAGACATTAACATTTATGAAAAAAATATGGAATGACAAGGTAGTATGATTTACTCTGAAAATATTGCACAATTTCCTTTTATCTCTC